GATTGTATGAACTAAAATATGGTCTAGCTATCACTCATGCAGATATCAGCTGATCACTCTTGAACATACAGTGTCTGCCTGGAGAGCAGCTGGTCCGGGGTTCGATCCCTGGCCGTATCATACAAAACGACATTAACGATGCTATTTGTTGTTACCCTGCCTGACGCTCGGCATTAAGGGGCTAAACAAGGACTAGTCGGCTTGGAGTCAGTATACTGTGCCTGAGTGGGGTATTCATGTTACACTGCGGCATGGTATCTCATTGGAGTATTTATGGTATCTCAGTGGGCTAGCACTATAAAACTGGCATTAGTCTCGCCACTACCAGCAGCCACACAGACACACATTATACACACATGCACATCACCACATAAGTGATAATGTTGAATGTGGAGTTACCTTATTCGACGTAATAAGCGCCCACGGCGGTATTTGCTAATATATTGGGTAGTGAACAATCTCAATTAGCACCCCTTCCGATTGATCAATGTAAGACTTATTTATTCGTGTATAATATGCACTCGTGTGTTATATGCATCCTTAATTATGGGCAATTAAATCCTGGAAAAATATATGTGTCGTATATAAACATTTCAGGCTGTCAGCATAACCCACGAAATTTACGAACTTTCAACTCTGTTTTTTTTTCACCAAAATAATATTCCAATAAGAGCCCCCTATTTCTAATTTTGAGAGCGCCCTGGGCACTTATTACGTCAAATACGGTAAGTGGACATTAAACCCCATTTTACCCAACCTCTTTAACACGTAGCTATGTCTGTGTCCGCCCTTCTATATGTTGCGTATTGGGAACCACCTGTGTGTATTCTGCACGTCTGGCAGATGCTTGTGGTGTATTGTCTACAGTGACAGTGTGAGCGGTCACCATTCTGGGCAACAATACAGGTCAGACACTGTTTTCATAGATAACATTGCACACGTGCAACGACTTGTTTTGAGTAGAAACATAACAGGTGCTATTCATGAAGGTATCCTGCAGGAAGGAACCATCGCCATAGGCGACCACAAGGTAGGGCTAGTGAGTGGGAAGCCGTGTCCCAACACTCCATTGCTAGTCGTAACAGTCAACTTAATAGGGCACCTGTGATGTTCTGGGTTAGAACGAGTACCAATGACCTTTGCTGGTCGTAAGAGGTTTCTCAGGATCAGGTGGACCCGTGAAGATCCGGGGTAGAATAGGTCTTCAGCAACCCATGCTTGCTGTAAAAGGCGACTATGCTTGTCGTGAAAGGCGACTAACGGGATCGGGTGGTCAGGCTTGCTGACTTGGTTGATGCATGTCATCGTATCCCTTTTGCATGGATCGATGCTCATGATATCAATCACTGGATTGTCTGGTCCAGACTCGATTATTTACAGACCGCCGTCATATAGCTGGAATATTGCTGAGTGCGGCGTTAAACAACAAACATTTGTCTCCCTGGTGTGTGGGTTGTTTGGGGCACCTGGGAATCTTCTGGCAAAATGGTCAGACATGTGAAGAAAAACAAATGTTTCACTTTGGGATGAGATGAATTATTGTCAAGTTGAATAGTGGGCCAGTAAATGAAATTGAAATGAAACAAATGATTTATAACAAGCTTTCCTGTTTTCACCTGGTTGATTGACTGTCAGTGTGCCGGTAAACTAGCCAGATTTAAATCACTGTCTTGTGAGCAGCCTGATCAGATTATCTGGGCCTTGGCCTTTTTTCAAATCTGTCAACATCCTGCCCTAGATATGACTGGGGGGTGGTAAGTCAAGACAGCTGTGAGGACACATGTGGTCGGGTTTCAACAATTGGCTGTATGTTACTATGGGCGAGCCCAGGGGTACCCATCCTCGTACACCTGTATTTTATGTGTAAAGGTGTCATGATCACCAGGGTAGTTATACTCAGGCACCTGCTGTCTGGGGTCCTCAGGCACCTGCTGTCTTGGGTCCTCCAGCACCTGCTGTCTTGGGTCCTCAAGCACCTGCTGTCTTGGGTCCTCGAGCACCTGCTGTCTTGGGTCCTCAAGCACCTGCTGTCTGGGACCCTTGAGCACCTGCTGTCTGGGGTCCTCGAGCACCTGCTGTCTTGGGTCCTCAAGCACCTGCTGTCTGGGACCCTTGAGCACCTGCTGTCTGGGGTCCTCGAGTACCTGCTGTCTGGGGTCCTCGAGCACCTGCTGTCTGGGGTCCTCAAGCACCTGCTGTCTGGGGTCCTCAAACACCTGTCTGGGATCCTCAAGCACCTGTTGTCAGGGGTTGATGCTGGGCAGGGGTTGATGCTCAAGCACCTGATGTGGGGTTCTCAAGGACCTGATGCTGAGGGAGGTGGGGAGACACTCAGGCACCTTCTGTCTGTAGTTGTCCATGCTTGCTAGTATTTTTTGTATTTTTCCACCAGACATTGATGCCTCTATGAAGGTGCTCTACCTGGTTATAGCGTTCGCTCGTCACGCTGAAGACCCGAGATCGATTCTCGACATGGGTACTATGTGTGAAGCCCATTTCTGGTGTCCCCCGCCGTGATATTGCTGGAATATTGCTAAAAGCGGCGTAAAACTGTACTCACTCACTCACAAAACTCACTCCAACTTAAACATATAGTCACACAAGTCAGTTGAACAACACCTGACCTATCTGCCAGTGACACTGTACACTGCAGGTGGACTACATTCTGAACTGTCTCTCTCTATATCTGCAGTTTAACATCCATGCTTCATATGTTAACGTTCTGTCTCAGCTTCTGTATTGGTTCTAGGTCTGTACTTTCATCTCTAAGGGAGAGGTAGGATGGCACAGTGGTTGAGTGTGTTTGCGTGACACACGTCAGGATCTGGGCTCCGTTCCACTGAGTTTTCTTAGCGCACAGATAATCGTAACTCCAGAGATAGAAACTGACATCTTTAGTCCTCTAGTCCTTATCATGATAAACCATAGCAAAGCCCTTAGATATAGCAAACTTTTACTAGTATTATGACATCTTAATGGGCAGTTTGGCGAGGACTGTAGGACAAGTGCCAATTTCTATCACTGCCCATACTTTCACATAGGTTTACAACTACGATCGCTTTGTGGAACCGAGCCCTGGGTTCTATTCCCAACATGGTAAACACCAACCTCACCCACGTCTCTAAGTTGCTTTCAGTATACAAGAAGTTGATATTCATGTGCTGCTTACTATTGTGTATACACCTGCTTCTTTTAAAACAGCCTATGTTTTCTCACGAGGTCTCCTCAATGTCTGGGTAAAGGTTCCAAATGCTTATCACTCAATACTGTGCTTGTACCCCAACATGAAGATCAGGGGTAGAATAGGTCTTCAGCAACCCATGCTTGTCCCCCGTGAAGATCAGGGGTAGAATAGATCATGCTTGTCGTAAGAGGCGACTAACGGGATCGGGTGGTCAGGCTTGTTGACTTGGTTGATGCATGTCATTGTATACCAATTGCGTGGATCGATACTCATCACCTCAATCACTGGATTGTCTGGTCTAGACTGGCTTATTTACAGACCGCCGTCATATAGCTGGAATATTGCTGAGTGCGGCGTTAAGGAACAAACAAACTGAACCTGAAACTGTACCCCAGTGGCGTGGATCATGACTCATGATAACAATCACTGGATGGTCTGGTCAGACTCAATTATTTACAAAATAACAGGCTGCCATTGTAGCTGGAATATTGCTGAGTACAGCGTTGATCAACGTTACTGATCACTCTGGGGGATCACACACCAGTCCAGGGATTTATCAAGATCTGCTCAGAGGTACCATAGTTTGCCCATATTTTGTCGATAGAAATTCCCAAATTGTAATTTAAAAAATTATGTTGAATTGAATGAAATATTCTAATGAATATATGAAAGTCCCAATTTCAAATTGTTGAGTGTTGAGGACTATTATTTTGGACTCAAAGATAAATCCCTGAATTGCTTAATACTAAGAGCTGGTGGGCTGGTAAGAGCTGACTAGTTAGCATTGGGTGGTCAGGCTCTGTGGTGCAGCCAATTGTGTGTCATTGTAACCTGTTAGCGTGAGTTGTGCTCTTGCTTTCAATGTCTGCTTTTGCCCTGTCAAAACGTAATTATTTATAGGTCAGCGTGATATTGCAAGAATATTTCTCTGACTGTCGCCAGAGAGCATTCACTGATTCTTATATGATATATAAATGCATATATTCACTAGATTTTACAGCCTATATTCAACCATCTAGCTCTTTTTCAAGGCCCTGGGGTAGCCTACTGGTACATGGTTTGCTTGTTGTCCCAAAGGCCTGGGTTCAGTTCCCATATGGGTACAATGTGTGGCTCCACCTTCTGGTGTCCCCTGCCTTGATGTTGCAAAAAATCATACCCACTCACTTGGGTTATGCATGGCGACTATGCTCAGTAGCCACCCAACCCGAGTACGCGAGGTACCAGTCCCAGTGCCTTTCAGTGTGTTCTGGTGTACTTGAGGGCGGTCGGGTAGCATAGTGGTTAAAGCGTTTGCTCGTCACGCCGAAGACCCAGGTTTGATTCCTGACATGGGTACAATGTGTGAAGCCCATTTCTAGTGTCCCCTGCCGTGATATTGCTGGAATACTGCTAAAAGCGGCGTCAAACCATACTCACTCACTCACTGTTGTATTTGAGAACATATTTTAGATTTACCGTGGAGGAAATTGGGTGTGTTTTGCTTGAATATCGTCTAAAATGGGATAAAATCTTTCTCACACAGCTCATGCTTTACTATTTTGATTTGCAGTATTAGTGAAAATTTTGATTTTAAGTTCTTTTCAAACTGGTATTTCGGTTAAAATGAATAATAATGTATGTTAGCACCTTTGCCAAGCACTTTTATTCAGCAAGCGCTTGCTTGTAGTAGCATTTGTACCAAAAATTGACATTGAAGGCATCAAGAAGTGTAAGTCCATAGTCAACCCTCTGTCTGACCTGTTTCTAATACAAGAGAGTGAACTTTCTCTGCAACAGTGTTGATTGTTTAAGTAAATCCTGTTCTCTGTTCCAGGGAGGACTTGTAGGACAGTTGGCCAGCCTTGACCTTGAGGGTGGCATGGGCGGAACAGGTGCCGCGGTGTTCATGGATGACCGGGAACGCAAGCTGGCCTGGGAGCGTGGTCAGATGGACTACTTGGGGATCGACAAGTTTGACAATATCATGAAAAAACTTGATGAAGAAATAGGGGATCGGCGCTCACCTAGCCCCAGCAAAAGTGGAACGCCCCCCCTGCCTCAAGAGCCGGACGATAAGCCTGGTGACACAGCTGTAGTATCGCCTCAAGGAACGGCGGTGCCTGCCGAGAGTACTGCTAAGATCTCACCACCTTCAGGTACAGAGCTCCCTGATGATGCCACTCCATCAGATTACGCCTCTGATAAAGATGTTGTTGTTGCTAGTGACTCATTTGTAGCAGCCTCAGAACCTCCTGCTGGTTCGGATGAGGTTCAAGTAGCGAGCATAGTTCTCTCTCCTGTAGATGAAGTACCTGTCCCTGTAGCCCCTGTGGCCCCTGATGAGGCATCTGAAGATGCAGATTTGTCCACCCTTCACACGCCCCCTCCTGAACCCGAGCTTCCATCCCCTCCCCCTCCCCCTCCTGGTGTTGATGAAGAGCCTGCCTCACCAGCTGATGCTCCTCCCGAATCCCAACCGGAGCCTGTTAAGGAACCAGAACCTGTTGTAGAGGCTCAGATAACCCTGGGAGAACCAGAATCGGTTCCCGAACCCCAACCGGAGCCTGTTACAGAACCAGAACCTGTTTTTGAGGCTCAGCTAACCCTGGGAGAGCCTGAACCAGTTCCCGAACCCCAACCAGAGCCTGTTTTAGAGGCTCAGATAACCCTGGGAGAGCCTGAACCAGTTCCCGAACCCCAACCAGAGCCTGTTTTAGAGGCTCAGATAACCCTGGGAGAGCCTGAACCAGTTCCCGAACCCCAACCAGAACCTGTTTTAGAGGCTCAGATAACCCTGGGACAACCAGAGCCTGTTACAGAACCAGAACCAGAACCTGTTGCAGTGGCTCAGCCTCCCCCCGTTCTTTCACCCAAACCCAGTGTGCCAGCACCATCCCCTAAGCCTGTTCTTGCTGCCAAGCCAGGCCCATCACCTCTCTCTACAAAACCAGCCCCTCCTTCACCTGCACCTAAGCCAGATGTCGCCCCCAAATCCCCAACCACACCTGAGCCTACTGAGTCGGCTCCGGCACCTAAACCAGCTGCTGCATTTGCTCCCAAACCATGGCAGAAGCAATATGGCTCCCAGTTCACTCCTAAGCCTGCCCCAGCAGCTCCAACTGGTTTGAAACCCTGGGAAAAACCAAAACCGGCAGAATCAAAGCCAACAGCTCCAGCTGCTAAGCCTTATGGTTCTAAGCCCTGGGAAAAACCAAAACCGGCAGCAGAGCCCACACCAGCAGAATCAAAACCAACAGCTCCAGCTGCTAAGCCTTATGGTTCTAAGCCCTGGGAAAAACCAAAAGCGACAGCAGAACCCACACCAGCAGAATCAAAACCAACAGCTCCAGCTGCTAAGCCTTATGGTTCTAGGCCCTGGGAAAAGCCAAAACCTGCAGCAGAGCCTACACCGGCAGCAGAAACAAAGCCTGCTGCGGAACCAAAAGCTGCAGCAGAGCCAAAGGCTCCAGCCAAACCAGGTTCTGGTTCGATGTTATCCTCGTCCCCATTTCTGAAGGGCGCAGGCTCAGCATCCAGTGGAGTATATGCACCAAAACCATGGTCATCTTCTGTGGGTGCTAAGCAGTATGGATCCGTAGCAGGACCAAAATATGGTGCAGCGGCTGCATCTTCATCAACACCTTCATCAGCAGCTACAACACCCAAACCCTCCCCTGGTGCCCCGACGACAGCTCCCAAACCTTCCGCACCAACCCCTGCTCCCAAACCAGGGGCACCAGCTCCGGCTCCCAAACCATCTTCTAGATTTGGGTCTTATTTCCCTCCCCCAAAGAAATGAGTTTTTGCCATGGCATGTTGATATGACTGGCTGCATAATTTGAGACTATCTATCTTTGTGGTGCTTGATATATGTAGGGCTCGTGCTTCATACTTGAGAGTGTGATAAACAGATTGATATTCTCCATTCTTCAGGGCAATAAATGCACTCCTCCATATGCCCTGACCGCAGTGTATATATTGCCCTGAATATTTGAGGATGACTTATTACGAGCTGTTTTTCTACTGCCATGGCTTGCCTCATGGATATCTATATTTGGTATGTTAGTATTTTGTAATTATGGATGAAGATTTCTCAAGTGAAAGTGTTCCAACTAACCCATCCCAGAATGCATCTGTTGACGGGTGATGTAACTAGTCCTGTGGTATCAGCTGTTTTCTGTCTTCACTGTCTAGAATATTCAACCACGTGCGCAAACCTATGACGCTGCGATCATTACTTCAGTTGTCCTCAGAGTTTGTACGTAGTCCTTGAACGAAACAAAAACATTTACAATGTTTATTTTTTCTCGGGCTAACAGACTTTTGATGGCTGAATTAGGATGCATCCAGGGTTTTACTTGACACATAATTCCTGCACATTAGATGCAACAATCTACGATATGTTCTTTTTAAATTACTGCCTGTTTCTCTGCTAATCGTTACAAATAAAACAAATCTTTTACGATGAAAGGAGACTGAAGTAACTTTAAAATACAAAAAACTTGGAATTTCCACTGTCTATTTATAGATTGTTGTCCCTTGCAAACCGGTAACTGGCATGGCTACGCACCAGCCAACAAGCATGGCAGCGAAAATCGTGACTCCCAAATTAAGAAATATTTCCAAAAATATCATAATTTTTGGAGGCCCTAGATGCATCAATATTTCAGTTTTTATTGTTTTAACCCTACTCATATTGAGTAGAAATGAGTCCGACATTTTGTCTTTTTTCATACATTCTACAATGTTGCTTTGGTTGTCATGACCGCCATTGTCAGAATGTCTCGTGAACTATGCAAGTGGGCAACAGCTTGACCAATGACGCCATAATTCCTATATTATGCTCAGTATCTATGCTCATATTGTTTTATTTTATTCCGTTGTATATGTGAAAGATTTTATTTATTGCCATCGTGTCAGGTCATCATCTTCATGGTGCTTGTTCTTAGTTTGTTTCAGTTCTGGAGCTGTTGTTTAGGTCACATGTTTTTATCATGGTGCATGTCAATCTCTGATGTTTCAAACTTTTTTCTACAATTTATTTTTTATTTTTTAATGATTATTTTTAGAATTTTTACACTCACGTATAAAGAGTATTTGAAGAAAGACTCATTTGTTTCTGAAAGTGAAAAAAAGGCTGAATGATGAGTAATTTTACAGGAATCTGTTGAATCTTATTTCCGCTTATCTGAAATATTACGATCAGATATTTTCCCAGGCATAGCAACACGTGCCATATTGATTACGTTTTTTATCTTGTGTCCAATTTCACCTTTTCTCACCTTGAATACATGTGTAGCTCATGCAGTGCATGCTCCTAGAATCATCACCGCATGTAATACACCAGTGTTCGAAATACCTGTTGATTTCAACTCGGGCTGCCAGATTTTCAAATCCCCCTGCCCGACGGTCGGGTTATATTTCATAGGTGAAAATATTCTAAATATTTTCCGATGATAAGCATTAATTCACATGTAAAGATGAATGATAAAATGTAACCAAAAGGAACCCCGTTAGCTTATCCTGAGAAACATATGATTATAGTGGGCAGGCAGGTTTTGGTCAGGGCTGGCAAGTATTTCAGCTAGCCAGTCCTGTGGTCAGTCAGTCCTGAGTTTCATACCCTGAATACACAACTGCTTATTGAGAGTGCAGGTTTTGAAATTGATGTTACGATATCATTACTGTTAGGGCAGCATGATTTAGATGTGATTTTTCAACATTTGGCCTGAAAACATTAGAAAGCATGCATGATTGACTCATAGTTTAGACACTGCATGGAGTGTGGCGAACGTCTCTTGAATTAGTTTATGAATGATAGTCTGGGTCCTGTTCATTGGTTACTAAATCGGTTAGAGAAGGGTGTTAAGTAATTCTCATGTAAATCTACCTGTTTGGGTTAATGTTGACTTTTTTTCTTCATATGGCCATGACCTTGGTAGCATGTCTGAGACATTCTTGCTTTTGCTTGAATTAAATTCTCTGCTGTGAAATAGCTGTATATGAATTTGAAATAAGTTTAAGGTGTATGTGTTTCTGCATTATATGCTGCTCAACATTTGCTAAGGACCTTTGATACAGATGACTTTATCCTTAGCAAATGTTGAGCAGTACATGTTGAGTTGAAGTAGCATGATTTGGCAGACTAATTTCTGTTAGTCTTTGAACAAAGCATCAAAGACAAAGATTCTATGCTTGCTTTGTGCTTTTGAAACTAAATTATTGAAACATTGGTAAAAGTGAAAATGGATAAAACAGCATCTTCTCTACGCTTGAGCTTTCAGTGTGTAATTTCAGTTTTGGAGTTATCTCCCCTTGCATCGAGTGACCTTTGAACCTCACTTCATCCTTCATCCATGTTTTTGGCTATTGAACGATGTCATACTAAACATATAACATGTAGTCTGCCTACTTTCTTCAGTGGAGTATCAATATACACATTAATTGGCACATTAATAAGTCCCATATCATATTAATATGATTAATTTTGCACTGATAACAACTATTTCAAAATTAATTTATGTAATGTATTACTACTTCCGCAGCATTAATTTTCTAATAATTTTTTATTTTTTATTTGTTAGCTTCGAGGTTTTTTGTTTCGCTATGATCCGTGTTTAGTTTAAAAAAATAATGTAGAATATCTCCCTAATGGGTTATGCATGGACAATCTGGGTGAGGACAATTTTGGATAATAGTCTGATGGTCTAAGTTACTTTCATGATGTAATTAGAGATATATCATTCAGCGTATATTTGATTTCACTTCAGGAATTACCATTGACACTCCACTGTAAATTTCTCTTGCTATTTTGCAGCATTAACTCAATAACTTTAGTTTTTATCACCAATGCATGTGTTTGCAGGCAACTGATCGACACAACGCTCCGTACGATTGCTCATTTGTTCATCTGCCACACGATGTTTGAATCCACTGGAGAAGTAACCTTGACCTTGATGAGCTGGCCCTAACAGCATGCTGGGAAGCCTACGTAACCATGGCAACATCTGAGATCTTCAGTTGGCTTGCTGCTAATGTAATGTCTGTCTTTCTTTAGTTATGGCCGACTCTTGTAGCTTTCTACGACACAATATTGGAATGTGGTCGTCCCTCCCTGCTGCATGAAACATGTATCGTTATCAGTTTTATCCTTGATTATCTCCCTTACTTGTTGAAATGGATATGACAAAAGAGGAAATTTTGTAAAAATGTATCACCAAATCTCTGTTGCCATGGCAACTTGTAAGCATGACATTTTTTGTAAATTTTGTTTTCAAGCTCAGTTCTGGAATCCAATGCATTTCAATGGTGATTTACGTGACATCGTCTTCTCGTGTTGATAGGGGCAGTGGGGTAGCCTACTGGTTAAGGTGTTCGCCGGTTACACAGAAGGCCCAGGTTCGATTCCCATTTTGCCCCACAATTTGTAACAAATGACTAAACTAGGGGCAGATAATCAATGGTGCTTGCAAGGAAGTAAACTGAAATAAAACCTTATCGGGGTTATTTTTAGGCATGCTTGACTGTAACCCAGTATTTACATGGACGCTTATAGATGTCTTTGTAAAGTATGGGGAAAATAACCCTGCCGTGAATACATCTGTCTCACTCCATGCTAAAAGCTCTACCTCAATACACAAGATGCGTGGTCATCAGGAACTGCTCCCGACTTCCACATGCCAGACAATATTGTGATAAGAAAGCTACAAGAGTGTCTGTTCCTCCAGGCCGCTGTAATAGAAGAACAGTTGGTGTCAGGTTAAGAGGGACTGTGCTGTGTGGCCTCAAGGTCAGGAGGTTGACAAATAAAAAATAAAAACATTCCAGTTACATATATATATTTTTTATTTCGCAAAATGTTAAGTAGTTGTTAGATTAAATTTTCAGCCGGTTTTGATGATTGTAATTTTAAATAATTTATTCATTTTGAAAATTTTGCTTATTTCTTGTCAGCAGAATTAAAAAACAATGTTTTTAATTTTTATGTTTTTTTTCAATTTTTGGATGACGTTAACAAGTTTTTAAAAAAGTGACATCTAATAAGTGTAAGGAGATAAGAATGACATATTTTTATAACTTTGGGTTTAAAGATATATTCTGCTCAACTTTTGATAGGGAGAATTTATATTTGTCATTCTAATTAAATTTAAGCTTGACATGAGAATCAGTTTTTTGTTTTGAAAGATTGAAAAATCCCTATCACAGATGGATCAGTATTCAGCGCGGTCTGAGTCAAACTGACAATCGGCCCAAGCCTAGTCCCTCTTAATGGCTGCTACTGTTTCCATTGATGCACAAGGATGTGTTCTTAGAGTCGGACAATGAGAACAATGTTGTTGATACGAAGATTGAAGTCAACTTTTAACATTGGTATCTGTCGTTGGTGTCTTTCAGGACATGTACTGTTTGTTAAAACTTGAAATACCATTATTGTTTTGAGATACGCAAATACTAGAAAGTCTGTTATTAATTTGATTGTTTTTCTGTGTCGGTGAGAATTTACATCAGAAGATTTATCATGGTATATCTTGTTGAATGTTTTTTCAGACTAGAACATTTTGTTATCCACATTCGCTACACAGTTCTCTCCCTTGATTTGTAGACCACGCAATTCTACTTGGGTCAGAAACTGTTGTCCATAGTTTTTTAACATAATTTGTTGTTTTAAATTGATTGACAGAAACTTTTGAATCAGTTCCGAAGATTTTTTGTCAGAATTGTTACTATAAATGGAAATCAAGAGGGAGAACTTTTGCAACATTTACCTCGGATTTACAGTGATGGTTGAAGAGTTATGTCCCCTTGGTTCAGGATCTGTGTTAGCCACAGAGGCTACTATACCTCAAATTGTTGACACTTCAGTGAACATCCATGTTGACCTAGGTCCTGTTCCACAGCGATGATCTTATCTGCGTAATCGTAAGGCCAAGATGATAGCATCCATAATATAACATAGACTTGCGACTATCTTAGCGCTAAGATGATCGTAACTCCCATACTTCAACGTAGACTTGGGACAATCGTACTGCTAAGATGATCGTAAATCCCATACTTTAACATAGACTTGCGACTATCTTAGCGCTAAGATGATCGTAAATCCCATACTTCAACGTAGACTTGTGACAATCATAGCGCTAAGATGATTGTAAATCCCATACTTCAGCGTAAACTTGCGACAATCGTAGCTCTTTGTGGAACTGAGACCTGTATTATTTAAAAATACTTAAATTCCACTATTCAGGGATTTGTCTCAATCTGATTTGACAGTCTCCTCTTACCAGATAAATCTGCCTTGTCTCAGAAACCAGTTCAGCTACGTTATAATCTCACTTCAGTAAATCTTCCATCGGACAGTAGAGCCTGTGATCAGTGATCGTGTGGGCAGTGTGTAAAGATGCAACGTATCGGATTAACCGTAATAAAAACAATTGGCGATTTATGTGTAAACCACATTTAGAACTGAATCTGCAGGCAGTTAAATGTTCTTTTGTTAATCACAGCTGGGGCTGTCAGAATTGAAGATGAGTTCATTTCCAAGGGAAGCAAAATTTTTTAGAATTTTTATCAGTATTACTTAAAGTTAGTGTTTCTTTTGTTTCTGTGACTGTCCTGTGTCTGGCTGTGCATGTCATTGTACCTCATGGGTCGTTGCTCATGCTCTGAGTCACTGGATTGTCTGGTCCGGACTGGATTATTAGCAGATCACCGTGCTATGGCTGTGATACTACAGAGTGCAGAGTTTAACACCAGTCACTGAATTAGGCTGCTTATCACAAGCGGTATCTCTGTGTGTCTATGGGGGCACGGGTGGCCTAGTCGTCTAAGGTGCCGTGATTCGCTGTGCCTATGATTGTGGGTTCGAATCCCGGTTCGCCCCAATTATGTTTCTAGGTTTGTCAGCACCACACCCGTGCTTGTGGGTTTTGTTTGTTTGTTTGTTTGTTTGTTGTTTAACGCCGCACTCAGCAATATTCCAGCTATATGACGGGGGTCTGTAAAATAATCGAGTCTGGACCAGACAATCCAGTGATTGACTTCATGAGCATCGATCTACACAATTGGGATCGATGACATGTATCAACCAAGTCAGCGATCCTGACCACCCGATCCCGTTAGTTGTCTTTTACGACAAGCATAGTCACCTTTTACGGCAAGTATGGGTTGCTGAAGACCTATTCTACCACAGACTCTTCACGGGTCTAGTAGTATAGTAGTGGAGTGGTATAGTATATTGTGTGTACAAGACAATCAGGGTAGATACCGTTTGTCAAAAACCTGTCTGCACATCATTTAGGACTAGTGGTTTGTGTATTTGTTTGTTTGTTGTTTAACGCCGCACTCAGCAATATTCCAGCTATATGACAGCGGTCTGTAAATAATCAAGTCTGGACCAGACAATCCACTGATTGATATCATGAGCATCGTTCTACGCAATTGGGGTACAATGACATCATCAACCAAGTCAGTGAGCCTGACCACCCGATCCTTACGACAAGCATGGGTTGCTGAAGACCTAGTCTCAACCTGGGTTTTCACGGGGCAGTCTGGATTATGTAAGATAGCTACATTTGGTTAGAAAATAGTCCCCCTGTATTTTCACTAGTCTTGGACTGATGGATTAATAGCTGTGTCTTTCCCTGAGCATCATAATCTATTTGTGCAATATTTGGCAATGTTAGTAGTTATAACGTAAGGTAGGCCTGGTCATGTGATACTTAACTGTTTCCTCTACTGCTAAGCTGTTTCTAGAGGACTTGTTGAATTAAGTTTCATGAAGTTTTAACAAAGTTTAACAAAGTTTAATTTAGTTATTGATGTTCAGCTAAATCCCTCCAGCTACTCAAGTCAGTAATTCTGTAGCGTGTATATGGAGCTTGGTAGTCTGAATGTATATTTTCCCGGTTCGATTCCCTACATAGGTACAACGTGTGAAGATCATTTGCCCCGCCACGATATTGCTTGAATATTGCTGAATGTGACTTAGACCCAACTCACTCAGTTATAAAGTGCCAGGCCCTTCCTGGAAACGAGTCATGGAGTCATGTATGTGACACCGTCTGACTCAAGAAGATACTGCTCGTTCATTTCAATAATTCTGTAGGTCTTCCATTGTTTTTTGATCTTGCTAATTATGTTATGTGTGTAATATGATGGGAAGACAACCACACGCTCCTCTCTCCCTGTTAATCAACTGTTAATAGGTAAATGTAGTGACAAAATGCTTATAAAAGATAAGCTTCTTTACAATTATTGTTGATTGTTATCCTGATTTAGGGCTGGTGAGAGAGAGAGTTCGTCCCTGATCATGGATAAATCTGTTATAGAGTAGATCGATATTTAGCTTATATGATGGTTTCTACCTAATGTATTTTACATACTTCAGATGCCATTTTGTTTTTGATTATATCTGATTGTACATTGTTCGTGCCACAAATAGATACTACGCAGAAAGTTGGTCGATGTAATGTGACCGTGAAGCTACAGAATGGCCACTAAACAGAAAGACTTCAATCCAAAGATCCCGGAGGTTTCCTTCCAATGATTCTTACCATCATCTTAGAACAGTGTGCGTGTAGGAAGTCAGTTTCCCATTTAAGATTTGTGCATGTATTATTAAAGACTCTTGTGATAATATTGTGTATAAATATACCATGCCCTGACTGAGCATTGTAGACATTTGCATGCCCTGACTCAGGATAATTGGGCTGTTCATGACCCGATTCCAATAGTTTCCATACCGGAAAACAGATCTGCAGGAAATGCTATAATACTGGAACAGAAATCCATTGATCTTTGAAAAAAAGCCAAAGAACAACCAAAATGGAGCCTGTCTCTCTGCTTGCTTGTTACCTTAGTGCAATCAATCCCCTCTTGCAAGTGTGCGTAGAGTTGAGAGTTTTTGTCCGAGTTCAATCTCTGAATTTTTTCAAGTGAATAAACGTAGCATACGTTGTCTCGTTACAAATTCCGTATTCAAATGTCAGAGTATTGGAGGCGGTCTTGTATATTATTTTTTTAGCTCTGAATATGATTCTGTCCTGCTTCTAACCCCTGAATCATGAAACATGAAAACAGCATTGGTTTGAAACCGCATGGCCATCACCGGAACAGATGCACAGGTTGGGGCAGGATGCCATGGCAACGACCTCATGACCTTTCTGAAATTGCAGTGACCTCATGACCTTGCAGTGACTTCATGACCTTTCTGAAATTGTAGTGACCTCATGACCTTGCAGTGACCTCACGACCTTTCTGATATGGAAGTGACCTCATGACCTTGCAGTGACCTCATGACCTTTCTATATCAGATGGTGACAACGAGACATGGAAAAACCAACATTTTTGATGTGGGAATGGACCAGCTTGATATGTTATAACACATCATGAGCTTAGTGAAGATTTCAAACTTACTTGGATCTGAAAGCTTGGAAAAGTAATCAATGTCAATTTGTCATGAAAATGCATATGTATTTGAATGTAAATAGCTTTCGATTTCAAAATTAATTAAGTCGTTGGAAAAATTATCATTATTTTTACAAAAGCAGTTTCCCGACCATTGTCCATGATTGATGAAGCTATACCAATAATGAACTTCAAGGTCAGTACCTGAGTATCCTGCACCATGACTGTGAATTATAGGTACTTTATGAAACCAAAACCAATCTAACAGGTTTCAGTTAGTCGAAGGTATTTGGTCTGCTGTGAGTTTGTGAAGCGTCCCCTGCCTGTGTTCTGTGACGGAGGCCGCGGTCAATACACCATCACCACAGTTGGGACTCTGTAACATTACTACTCTGCTCAATGTATGAGTGCTGTAACTATATTGGATTGTTATAATAAACATGTACAAAGTTGTCAAACTTGTCGCGTTTGTTTCATTACTATTGGATATATTTTATCTTGCAGGTTTGTTTGTTGTTTAATGCCACACTCGGCAATGTTTCCAGTTATATCACAGCGTGTCGGCTTAATGTGGGAGGAAAGCCTGAATTGATGCAGTGGCCTCTTGCAACAAGCATCTGTTGCTGAAGACCAATTCTAACCCAGATCTGCCTTTGTGACAGCAGGTGTAAGCTTGGATTAGTCAGTGGGCTTGTGATTGCCATTGAAATAAACGTGACCCGTGAAGATTTCGGGGTAGAAGAGGTCTTCAGCAACCCATGCTTGCCGTAAAAGGCGACTATGCTTGTCGTAAAAGGCGACTAACGGAATTGGGTGATCAGGCTCGCTGACTTGGTTGATACATGTCATCGATCCCAATTGCGCGGATCGATGCTCATGATGTCAATCACTGGATTGTCTGGTCCAGACTCGATTATTTACAGATGGACGTCATATAGCTGGAATATTGCTGAGTGCAGCGTTAAACAACAAACAAACAAAACAAAGTGAAATAAACGGAAAATATTTCATTGTGAAATGACACACAGGAAGTAAATGTCATTGAAGTCCGCAGTTGGTAGTTACAGAAACTACAAGAAACACAAGCAAGGTCTAGACTGGATCGTTCTGCATTCACCTTGGAGGACACCTTGATCGCTGCCACCGCCCAGGGCGGAATCCAGGGCAGTAGTGGCAAGATTCTGGACATTCGTGAGAGCACTGACTTACGTCATAGAGCCTGTTACTTCTTGCTGCAGCCACTTCATTGACCTACTGTGATTGTTTGTAATTCGGCGGGTTAGAATAGGTCTTCAGCGACCATGTTTGTCATAAGAGGCGACTGACGGGATCAGGTGGACAGGCTTGCTGCCTTCGTTGATGCAATTCATTATATCCCAATTGCGTGGATCGGTGCTCATGATGTCAATCACTGGATTGTCTGGTCCAGATTTGATTATGTTTGAAGCCCATTGTGTCTCCCTTGCCATGATATTGCTGGAATATTGCTAAATACCACATCAGCAGCTACTGACATATCATATCGCTGTGACACCAAGGACGACAGAGGCTGTATTTCCCATTTTCAACCTAGACTAGTTCATATTTTGAATATTCTATAACATACACAATAGATATCATGATTTCATTGTGCAGACATAATGAGATTATTGACATTTACAGTGACATCTTGTGGTGTTTCCAGTTTGTCCCGTAAACCCGACAGTAAAATATCGCATTATGTTCTCCAGGGGCCTTGTCGCTACACTCACACAGCTGTTCACAGATGGCCACTCACACTAGACAGTGACTGATTAATACCTCACATATGAGGTTCCATATAGTCCCCAGGGACAAAGAGCTGCATTCACACCTGTCTACAACCATCCACAATACACTGTGGCAGATTAATACCTCACATATGAGGTTCCATATAATCCCCAGGGACAAGGAGGTACACTCACACACCTGTCTACAGACAACCATCCACACAACACAGTGACAGATTAATACCTCACATAAGAGGTTCCATATAATCCTCAGGGACAAGGAGGTACACTCACACACCTGTCTACAGACAACCACCCACACAACACAGTGACAGATTAATACCTCACATAAGAGGTTCCATATAATCCCCAGGGACAAGGAGGTACACTCACACACCTGTCTACAGACAACCACCCACAATACTCTTGACAGATTAATACCTCACATATGAGGTTCCATATGGTTCCGAGACAAGAAGCAACACTCAAACAGTTGTCTACAGACAAACATCCACAATACACAGCGGCAGATTAATACCTCACATATGAGGTTCCATATAATCCCCAGGGACAAGAAGCAACACTCGCACACCTGTCTACAGACAACCACCCACAATACACAGTGACCGATTAATACCTCACATATGAGGCTCTATGCAATTATAAATGCCTTTGCCACAACTGGAAGTTGGTTATAACGGAATAAAGCCCCTTCTGTGCTGTTGTTAGTTTAAGGACTGACCAGACTATTGATGTCCTTGTGATTGTTTTCTCTATTTTTGAGTGTTTAATAAATCAAATTTAAGAAATCACAATAATACATTTTTTTTTTAAAAATTCAAAGATTGAACACAGTTCCACAGAACTCTATGAATGAATCTTGTAATGTTTATTCAAGTATTGGTTCAAATAATGACATTATTGCATCAACTCATTCACAGGCGATATATATACATATACACACACATATGTACAGATCAGGAAGCAATCACGTACTGGAGCACAGTAGGATTACTGGCAACTCATCACTCCAAACCACTCTGGCAGCCACTGGTATGAACATTTCTTGAGACAAATATCCAAGAAGCTATCAATATTTAGTTTCATACTGGTTTGCAAATAAATCACTGTGTGAATTGTGATCCAACGTTGTTATGACTGAAGATGTAGAATGTTGTGCACGACACATCACGTCTACAGACAAACATCCACAATACACAGCGGCAGATTAATACCTCACATATGAGGTTCCATATAATCCCCAGGGACAAGAAGCAACACTCGCACACCTGTCTACAGACAACCACCCACAATACACAGTGACCGATTAATACCTCACATATGAGGCTCTATGCAATTATAAATGCCTTTGCCACAACTGGAAGTTGGTTATAACGGAATAAAGCCCCTTCTGTGCTGTTGTTAGTTTAAGGACTGACCAGACTATTGATGTCCTTGTGACTGTTTTCTCTATTTTTGAGTGATGAATAAATCAAATTTTAGAAATCACAATAATACAATTTTTTTTTAAAAATTCAAAGATTGAACACAGTTCCACAGAACTCCATGAATGAATCTTCTAATGTTTATTCAAGTATTGGTTCAAATAATGACATTATTGCATCAACTCATTCACAGGCGATATATATACATATACACACACATATGTACAGATCAGGAAGCAATCACGTACTGGAGCACAGTAGGATTACTGGCAACTCATCACTCCAAACCACTCTGGCAGCCACTGGTATGAACATTTCTTGAGACAAATATCCAAGAAGCTATCAATATTTAGTTTCATACTGGTTTGCAAATAAATCACTGTGTGAATTGTGATCCAACGTTGTTATGACTGAAGATGTAGAATGTTGTGCACGACACATCACGTCTACAGACAACCATCCACATCCAGTGACTGATTAATACCTCACATATGAGGTTCGGTATGATCACATGGGACAAGGAGGTACACTCACGCTACATAGTGACTGATTAATACCTCATATATGAGGTTCCACATCATCACGAGGGACAAGGGGGTACACTCACACAGATGTCTACAAATGGCCACCCACACTACATAGTGACTGACTAATACCTCACACATGAGGTTCCTCGCAATCTTAAATGCCTTGGACACAGCTGACATTAAGGAATAAGGCCCTTTCTGCGCTGTTGTTACTGACTGACTGACAAGACTATGGACATACCTTTCCTCATGTGCTTGTTTTCTCTATTGTTGATTGATTAATAAATCAAATGGTAGAAATCTAACTTATACAAAACTTTCAACCATGAACTTTTCTGAACAATGTATTGGTACCAGCCCAAGTATGTTTGTCTAATGCTAAAGGTGTCTTCAGCGCAAGACAAATGTCAGGCTTTTCAGGGTTGCTAGGGTCCTTTAGGTTTGTTAATTTGCTATTTGATTCTGGGGACCACCTAAATCCTTTCTTTTTACCATTAAGTGAGAGAGAGAGAGTGAGTTGGGTTTAACGCTGCTTATAACAGTATTCCAGTTATATCACGGTGTGTCAGCTTAATGTGGGAGGAAAGCCCGAAGTGATGCAGGTCTCAGACGTTTACCACGAGCACGGGTATGGTGCTGAAAAACCTAGAAACATAATCGGGGCGAACTGGGATTCGAACCCACAATCATAGGTTTCTGGGGTGCCCAAGGGACGCAACTCTGCACAGCGAATCGCAGCGCCTTAGACGACTAGGCCACCCGTGCCCCCTTTTACCATTAAGGTAATGACAAGGATTATTTGACTTTCATGCTTAAATACAAGCACTGCATTTTGTTACTTTTCAGGCTTCTTAATGTTTCAGGGGCGGTCGGGTAGCCTAGTGGTTAAAGCGTTCGCTCGTCACCCTGAAGACCCGGGTTCGATTCCCGGCATGGGTACAATGTGTGAAGCCCATTTCTGGTGTCCCCCGCCGTGATATTGCTGGAATATTGCTCTAAATGTTTCAGGTTAATTTGTAAGCAATATGGAGAACAAAACTTCCCTCAACTTGTTTCGATATACTTAATATCAAAAGACACAAGGGTGAGATTCTATTTATAAATCATTCTTCCAACTCCTTGTTCGTAATAAAGTGTCTTGAGTTTTAAAACATACAGCTAACCAGCTTCAGTAGCAGAGAGATTATTATCATCCCAAACTGGCTCCCACAGGAGATATCGCTTGGGTGAGATCAAGTGATATCTACATTGTAGATATCGCTGCAATGAAATTGCATCACAATGCTTTGTAGACCATTGTGCCGCCATTGTTACCATGACGTCACAATCAAATGACATCACTAATGGCTCTGCTACTAAAGCTGTTAGCAGTACTTTTTACACTGAAGACACTGCTTGTTACTGTCTACAAACTGAAAAAGTTGGAAGAATGATGTTGGATGATAAATAAAATCTTGATATCAAAAGACACGAGGGTCTTGTTGGCAAGCTGACATACATTATGATACTTACCATACATACTGTATAACATGTTGACTCATGACACATAACATTCACTTTCACTTCCTTAGCCACACTCTACTATGAAGCAGATTATTTTGTTGTCATGGAAACAAACAATCCCAAATCCCACATTCCGAACAAAAGCAATTTAAGTACAGCTGTTTGCTTCCTTAAAACAATGCTACAATGTTATATATTGTTTCAGAAATGAGAGAAACTTTTCCATAAGGTCTGAAAATGTCCTATTGAAGTTGTATTATCAATTTTAATAAGCAACTCGGATTATCAGATGAGTTGAACACTAAGTCTGGACTTTCAACTACAGGATGATGGTCTCAGCAGCTGAAACTTCCTCACAACCACGTCACACACATGTAACACAGCTGTATGTGATCCAGGTCACACACATGTAACACAGCTGTATGTGATCCAGGTCACACACATGTAACACAGCTGTATGTGATCCATGTCACACACATGTAACACAGCTGTATGTGATCCAGGTCACACACATGTAACACAGCTGTATGTGATCCAGGTCACACCCATGTAACACAGCTGTATGTGATCCAGGTCACACACATGTAACACAGCTGTATGTGATCCAGGTCACACACATGTAACACAGCTGTATGTGATCCAGGTCACACACATGTAACACAGCTGTATGTGATCCAGGTCACACACATGTAACACTGCTGTATGTGATCCAGGTCACACACATGTAACACAGCTGTATGTGATCCAGGTCACACACATGTAACACAGCTGTATGTGATCCAGGTCACACACATGTAACACAGCTGTATGTGATCCAGGTCACACACATGTAACACAGCTGTATGTGATCCAGGTCACACACATGTAACACACAACACAATCCAATCTCAGTGACATAGATGCATCTCCCATAGTCGCATGTACTGTGTTAACAATCCCTCAGTCGTATCACACTTCCACACTGGGAGATCTTCACCGGGTCCCCTTCACCCACTGGTACGCCAGGGGAGACTTCAGTTTGGGTTCCCGGGAGATCTTCACCGGGTCCTCTTCACCCGCTGGTACGCCAGGGGAGACTTCAGTTTGGGTTCCCGGGAGATCTTCACCGGGTCCTCTTCACCCGCTGGTACGCCAGGGGAGACTTCAGTTTGGGTTCCCGGGAGATCTTCACCGGGTCCTCTTCACCCGCTGGTACGCCAGGGGAGACTTCAGTTTGGGTTCCCGGGAGATCTTCACCGGGTCCCCTTCACCCACTGGTACGCCAGGGTAGACTTCAGTTTGGGTTCCCGGGAGATCTTCACCGGGTCCTCTTCACCCGCTGGTACGCCAGGGGAGACTTCAGTTTGGGTTCCCGGGAGATCTTCACCGGGTCCTCTTCACCCGCTGGTACGCCAGGGGAGACTTCAGTTTGGGTTCCCGGGAGATCTTCACCGGGTCCTCTTCACCCGCTGGTACGCCAGGGGAGACTTCAGTTTGGGTTCCCGGGAGATCTTCACCGGGTCCTCTTCACCCGCTGGTACGCCAGGGGAGACTTCAGTTTGGGTTCCCGGGAGATCTTCACCGGGTCCTCTTCACCCGCTGGTACGCCAGGGGAGACTTCAGTTTGGGTTCCCGGGAGATCACCGGGTCCCCTTCACCCGCTGGTACGCCAGGGGAGACTTCAGTTTGGGTTCCCGGGAGATCACCGGGTCCCCTTCACCCACTGGTACGCCAGGGGAGACTTCAGTTTGGGTTCCCGGGAGATCTTCACCGGGTCCTCTTCACCCGCTGGTACGCCAGGGGAGACTTCAGTTTGGGTTCCCGGGAGATCTTCACCGGGTCCTCTTCACCCGCTGGTACGCCAGGGGAGACTTCAGTTTGGGTTCCCGGGAGATCCTCACCGGGTCCTCTTCACCCGCTGGTACGCCAGGGGAGACTTCAGTTTGGGTTCCCGGGCCTTGTAGTGCTCATTGAAGTCGAGCCGGAAGCTGAGGAAGCGGAGACTGACGTCTTGATGACTAGTTAACATGACCAGGAACTGTTGCACCATGTCCTGAAACAGGGGATAATAACAAAGATGATAATGTTAGTAATAACAATAATAATAAAAATAGAATTAGTAGTAGTAGTAGTAGTAGTTACGACTGGGCCAACACAATCAGCTCAGCTCGGATGGAAGGACAATATTGTGAGTCTCACCTGATACGACTGGGCCAACACCATCAGCTGAGCTCGGGTGGAAGGGATATTGTGGGTCTCACCTGATACGACTGGGCCAACACAATCAGCTGAGCTCGGGTGGAAGGGATATTGTGGGTCTCACCTGATACGACTGGGCCAACACAATGAGCTGATATCGCGTGGAAGGACAATATTGTGGGTCTCACCTGATACGACTGGGCCCCCACAATCAGCTGAGCTCGGATGGAAGGGATATTGTGGGTCTCACCTGATACGACTGGGCCAACACAATGAGCTGAGCTCGGGTGGAAGGACGGTATTGTGGGTCTCACCTGATATGACTGGGCCAACACAATCAGCTGAGCTCGGGTGGAAGGACGGTATTGTGGGTCTCACCTGATATGACTGGGCCAACACAATGAGCTGATCTCGCGTGGAAGGACAATATTGTGGGTCTCACCTGATACAACTGGGCCCCCACAATCAGCTGAGCTCGGATGGAAGGGATATTGTGGGTCTCACCTGATACGACTGGGCCAACACAATGAGCTGAGCTCGGGTGGAAGGACGGTATTGTGGGTCTCACCTGATACGACTGGGCCAACACAATAAGCTGAGCTCGGGTGGAAGGGACGGTATTGTGGGTCTCACCTGATACGACTGGGCCAACACAATCAGCTGAGCTCGGGTGGAAGGACGGTATTGTGGGTCTCACCTGATACGACTGGGCCAACACAATCAGCTGAGCTCGGGTGGAAGGACGGTATTGTGGGTCTCACCTGATACGACTGGGCCAACACAATGAGCTGAGCTCGGGTGGAAGGACGGTATTGTGGGTCTCACCTGATACGACTGGGCCAACACAATCAGCTGAGCTCGGATGGAAGGGATATTGTGGGTCTCACCTGATACGACTGGGCCAACACAATCAGCTGAGCTCGGGTGGAAGGACGGTATTGTGGGTCTCACCTGATACGACTGGGCCAACACAATCAGCTGAGCTCGGGTGGAAGGGATATTGTGGGTCTCACCTGATACGACTGGGCCAACACAATCAGCTGAGCTCGGGTGGAAGGACAATATTGTGGGTCTCACCTGATACGACTGGGCCAACACAATCAGCTGAGCTCGGGTGGAAGGACGGTATTGTGGGTCTCACCTGATACGACTGGGCCAACACAATGAGCTGAGCTCGGGTGGAAGGACGGTATTGTGGGTCTCACCTGATACGACTGGGCCAACACAATCAGCTGAGCTCGGGTTGAAGGGACGGTATTGTGGGTCTCACCTGATACGACTGGGCCAACACAATCAGCTGAGCTCGGGTGGAAGGGATATTGTGGGTCTCACCTGATACGACTGGGCCAACACAATCAGCTGAGCTCGGGTTGAAGGGATATTGTGGGTCTCACCTGATACGACTGGGCCAACACAATCATCTGAGCTCGGGTTGAAGGGATATTGTGGGTCTCACCTGATACGACTGGGCCAACACAATCAGCTGAGCTCGGGTTGAAGGGATATTGTGGGTCTCACCTGATACGACTGGGCCAACACGATCAGCTGAGCTCGGATGGAAGGGACGGTATTGTGAGTCTCACCTGATACGACTGGGCCAACACAATGAGCTGAGCTCGGGTGGAAGGACGATATTGTGGGTCTCACCTGATACGACTGGGCCAACACGATCAGCTGAGCTCGGGTGGAAGGGATGGTATTGTGGGTCTCACCTGATACGACTGGGCCAACACAATCAGCTGAGCTCGGTTGGAAGGGACGGTATTGAGGGTCTCACCTGATACGACTGGGCCAACACAATGAGCTGAGCTCGGGTGGAAGGGATGATGTTTTTCAGGAAGTCATTCTGTCTCTGTTTCTCTTCCATCTCCTCCGCCTCCGTCACTCCCCACTCTCCCTGCAGACACAGCATCATAGCAGGCGTTTAAAACTTGGCTTATGGAACTGAAAAACCTTGCAAATGGTGAATGAAGATAATTTTGAAAGAAGTAATTGTTTCATTTCCCAATGACTCAAAATGAGTTAAAACTACTGTTTCTTTGTTTTTTTAGCAATATCCCAGCTGTATGTAGGCAGCCTGTAAGTAATTGAGTCTGGACCAAACAATCCAAAGATCGATATTGTGAGCAACGATCTGCTCAAGCAACCAAGCCACAGAGTCTTCCTACTCGATCAATTTGTCTCGGTCTCAGTCACCACTTACGACCATCACTGAAGTAAATTGAAATGGGAAGGAAAGTCACCCTTTGTCTTATCATTCAAGAAACACTCAAAACTGTTCCAATGTTTCACCCACGAAGCCACCCCACCTCCCCAACATCGGGCAAGATGTTCACCTCTGCTGTTCTGGCCTTGAGGCGACTCTGGAAGTGTTCTCGGGCGTCCATCTCGGAGTTGGCGGCCTGGTAGAAGTTCTCCTGAGCGGCCTGGAACTGGATGATGAGGTCGAAGATGGTCCGCAGCTGGGTGAGGATGGCCTGTACGGGAGAATCACATCACTGAGGGGTTCCAAGAATGAGTGAGTGAGTGAGTTGGGCTTAGTAACATTTTGAACAAGAATTCAGTTACATCAAGGCCTGTAAGCTGAATGTCTGACACAGGTCATAGACGTCTGTTATAGCGCATCTTCCCAAGGCAAGAGAGTTAACTGACTTAAAAAGTCCAGTTACCACCCTTGCCGAACTAGGCTGCAATTCCTGGGCTCGATCGTAGCCCCACCAGTGGCTATTACCAGTTATGTCCCTTCTAAACCTCACCTATGGACCAATCAGATTCCACCTCTCGTATCACTTGCGTTCATCACACAAAATGGTGGCGCCCAGTCAGGACGATCTGATCGATAATCAAGTTCTATATCGTGATAAAACGGATCTTACATCGCGAAATGCATCAAATCACGTGAGCACCTTCATTAAAAACATGAAAAGATTTGGAAAATATCTGCTGATAACGAGTTGGCGGTGTACATGCTTTGCAAATCCTGCAATCGACCGAAATCTGCACGACAGTTTACAAAACCGGATTTGATTTCGGTGCGCGATTTTGATTGGACTATGCATAGACTCGTTAGTCCAGCCAAAACGTAACCCCATAATACCAGCCTAGTTCGGCAAGGGTGGAAACTGGACTTTTATAGTCAGTTAACTCTCTTGACTCGGGAAGATGGTTATAGTGGGGAAACCCATGAATAAGGGTATAGCGCTGACAAACGAAGTATCAAGTGAGATTTGAAATTAATAACAAAACCAGCAGCTTCTGGCATAGCTAAGGGAGGCAACTCTGCACAACAAACTGTGGTGACATTAGACCTATGACCTACAATGTCCAGGAATACATGTATTGTGTATATAAGACCTACTAGAGACTTGTCATCGAGGAGACACCTGTATTCTTTATATATGTAACCTGGCAGAATATTTGCTGTGAAGTCGCCTGTATTCTAAATATGAAATCTATCCTGAGATTGTCATCGAAGAGAAATCTGTGTTCAATATATGAGATCTACATAAGATCTTTTTCTTCCTGTATTCAGACAGGAGACACCTGTATTCTATAAATGAGTGAGACCTACCCTGGACTTGTCACCAAGGTGACACCTGTATTCAATATATGCATGTGACCTACCCTGGACTTGTCGTCAAGTTGACACCTGTATTCAATATATGCATGTGACCTACCCTGGACTTGTCGTCAAGGTGACACCTGTATTCAATATATGCATGTGACCTACCCTGGACTTGTCGTCAAGGTGACACCTGTATTCAATATATGCATGTGACCTACCCTGGACTTGTCATCAAGGAGACACCTGCATTCTATACACGAGTGAGACCTACCCTGGACTTGTCGACAAGGAGACACCTGTCTTCTATACACGAGTGAGACCTACCCTGGGCTTGTCGTCAAGGAGACACCTGTATTCTATACATGAGTGAGACCTACCCTGGACTTGTCGTCGAGAAGACACCTGCATTCTATCCATGAGTGAGACCTACCCTGGGCTTGTCGTCAAGGAAACACCTGCATTCTACACAAGAGTGAGACCTACCCTGGTTTTAGTCGTCAAGGAGACACCTGTATTCTATACACGAGTGAGACCTACCCTGGCCTTGTCGTCAAGGAAACACCTGCATTCTACACAAGAGTGAGACCTACCCTGGGCTTGTTGTCAAGGAGAAACCTGTATTCTATACACGAGTGAGACCTATCCTGGTTTTAGTCGTCAAGGAGACACCTGTATTCTATACACGAGTGAGACCTACCCTTGACTTGTCGTCAAGGAGACACCTGCATTCTATACACAAGTGAGACCTACTCTGGACTTGTCGTCAAGGAGACACCTGCATTCTATACACGAGTGAGACCTACTCTGGTTTTAGTCGTCAAGGAGACACCTGTATTCTATACACGAGTGAGACTTGCCCTTGACTTGTCGTCAAGGAGACACCTGCATTCTATACACAAGTGAGACCTACTCTGGACTTGTCGTCAAGGAGAAACCTGTATTCTATACACAAGTGAGACCTACCCTGGTTTTAGTCGTCAAGGAGACACCTGTATTCTATCCATGAGTGAGACCTACCCTGGACTTGTCGTCAAGGAGTGAGTGAGTGAGTGAATATGGTTTTACGCCGCTTTTAGCAATATTCTAGCAATATCACGGCGGGGGACACCAGAAATGGGCTTCACACATTGTACCCATGTCGGGAATCGAACCAGGGTCTTCGGCGTGACGAGCGAACGCTTTAACCACTAGGCTACCCGACCGCCCCTTGTCGTCAAGGAGACACCTGCATTCTATACACGAGTGAGGCCTACCCCGGACTTGTCGTCAAGGAGACACCGGTATTCTGTACATGAGTAAGACCTACCCTGGACTTGTCGTCAAGGAGACAACTGTATTCTATAAATGAGTAAGGCCTACTCTGGACTTGTCGTCAAGGAGACACCTGCATTCTATCTATGAGTGAGGCCTACCCCGGACTTGTCGTCAAGGAGACAACTGTATTCTATAAATGAGTAAGGCCTACCCTGGACTTGTCGTCAAGGAGACACCTGCATTCTATCTATGGGTGAGACCTAGCCTGGACTTGTCGTCAAGAAGACACCTGCATTCTATCAATGAGTGAGACCTACCCTGGGCTTGTCGTCAAGGAAACACCTGCATTCTATACACAAGTGAGACCTACCCTGGACTTGTCGTCAAGGAGACACCTGTATTTTATACACGAGTGAGACCTACCCTGGACTTGTCGTCAAGGAGACACCTGCATTCTATACACGAGTGAGACCTACCCTGGACTTGTTGTCAAGGAGACACCTGCATTCTATACACAAGTGAGACCTACCCTGGACTTGTCGTCAAAGAGACACCTGCATTCTATGCACGAGTGAGACCTACCCTGGACTTGTCAAGGAGACACCTGTATTCTATGCACGAGTGAGACCTACCCTGGACTTGTCGTCAAGGAGACACCTGGAGACGATGGTGTCCAGGAACACCTGGTGGGCTGCGATGATGTAGTCCAGGTCCTCGGCTTCCCGCACCTTGGTGAGAAGCTCGTCCCAGGAACACTCCAGCACCTGCACAACAGGCAGGTCCAGGGCACAGTCAAAGTATGGAAGTTACGACCACCTTAGCACTACAATCACTTTGCGGAGGCCCCGGGCACTAAGCCCAACATGTTTCCATATCTTCCTGTGATATAACTACCTCCAGACCCGTGAAGATCCGGGGTAGAATAGGTCTTCAGATACCCATGTTTGCCGTAAAAGGCGACCATGCTTGTCGTAAGAGGTGACTAACAGGATTGGGCGGTCAGGCTCGCTGACTTGGTTGATGCATGTCATCGATCCCAATTGGGTGGATCGATGCTCATGATGTCAATCATTGGATTGTCTGGTTCAGACTTGATTATTTACAGACCCCCGTCATATAGCTGGAATATATTCCTGAGTGTGGCGTAAAACAACAAACCAACCAACCAACCAACCAACTAACCATATCTTCCTGCACATATATATATTTCCATGAATAAAATGACCCACCTACAATGTTGAAATTATGCCAAATATTCATGATGAAAATGTTTCTAAGCACTGTATATGTTACTGTTTTAGTCGTGGGCACCCGTCTACCATGCGTGGAAGGCAATGCTACTGTTTAAAGTCCACCATGTCTTGTTTGGTTGAGTGTTTCATGCCACTCTCTTTAGTATTCCAACCTCAAACCCCTTCTGAATGTCGCCCTGAAGTAGGACTACAGGCATGTAAACAAATGACGAGAAACGTTGTCGGTTACCTCGAAGTTGATGTAGTACTGGGCCTGTTGTATGAAGTGCACCATCTCACAGCCCAGGGCGTGGCACTGGTGCAGGATACCCTTCAGCTCTGTAACACACATTGTACACACATGTACACACACATTACAGTGTACACACACATTACACACATTGTACACACACATGTACACACATTGTACACACACATTACAGTGTACACACACATTACAGTGTACACACACATTACACACATTGTACACACACATGTACACACATTGTGCACACACATTACACACATTACAGTGTACACACACATTACAGTGTACACACACATTACACACATTGTACACACACATTACAGTGTACACACACATTGTACACACACATGTACACACACATTACAGTGTACACACACATTACACACATTGTACACACACATGTACACACATTGTACACACACATTACACACATTACAGTGTACACACACATTACAGTGTACACACACATTACACACATTGTACACACACATGTACACACACATTACACACATTACAGTGTACACACACATTGTACACACACATGTACACACACATTACAGTGTACACACACATTACACACATTGTACACACACATGTACACACATTGTACACACACATTACACACATTACAGTGTACACACACATTACAGTGTACACACACATTACAGTGTACACACACATTACACACACATTACAGTGTACACACACATTACAGTGTACACACACATTACACACATTACAGTGTACACACACATTACACACACATTACAGTGTACACACACATTACACACACATTACACAGTGTACACACACATTACACACATTACAGTGTACACACACATTACACACATGTACACACACATTACACAGTGTACACACATTACACACATGTACACACACATTACAGTGTAAAACACATTATACACATGTACACACACATTACACAGTATACACACATTACACACATGTACACACACATTACAGTGTACACACACATTATACACATGTACACACACATTACACACATTACAGTGTACACACACATTACACACATGTACACACACATTACACACATGTACACACACATTACAGTGTACACACACATTATACACATGTACACACACATTACACACATTACAGTGTACACACACATTACACAAATGTACACACACATTACACAGTGTACACACATTACACACATTGTACACACACATTACACACATTACAGTGTACACACACATTACACACATGTACACACACATTACAGTGTACACACATTACACACATTGTACACACACATTACACACATTGTACACACACATAACACACATTGTACACATTGTACACACACATTGTACACACACACATTACACACATTGTACACACACATTACACACATTGTACACACACATTACACACATTGTACACACACATTACACACATTGTACACACACATTACACACATTGTACACACACACATTACACACATTGTACACACACATTACACACATTGTACACACATGTACACACACATTGTACACACACACATTACACACATTGTACACACACATTGTACACACACTGTACACACACATTGTACACACACTGTACACACACACTTACATGACATACCTACATAACATCATGCACTTACATTACATACCTACATAACATCATGCACTTACATTACATACCTACATAACATCATGCACTTACATTACATACCTACATAACATCATGTACAAACACATTACATACCTACATAACATCATGCACTCACATTACATACCCACATAACATCATGCACTTACATTACATACCTACATAACATCATGCACTTACATTTCATACCTACATAACATCATGCACTTACATGACATACCTACATAACATCATGCACTTACATTACATACCCACATAACATCATGCACTTACATTACATACCTACATAACATCATGCACTTACATTACATACCTACATAACATCATGCACTTACATTACATACCTACATAACATCATGCACTTACATTACATACCTACATAACATACCTACATAACATCATGCACTTACATTACATACCTACATTACATACCTACATAACATCATGCACTTACATGACATACCTACATAACATCATGCACTTACATGACATACCTACATAACATCATGCACTTACATGACATACCTACATAACATCATGCACTTACATTACATACCTACATAACATCATGCACTTACACTACATACCTACATAACATCATGCACTTACATTACATACCTACATAACATCATGCACTTACATTACATACCTACATAACATCATGCACTTACATTACATACCTACATAACATCATGCACTTACACTACATACCTACATAACATCATGTACAAACACATTACATACCTACATAACATCATGCACTCACATTACATACCTACATAACATCATGCACTTACATTACATACCTACATAACATCATGCACTTACATGACATACCTACATAACATCATGCACTTACATTACATACCTACATAACATCATGCACTTACATTACATACCTACATAACATCATGCACATACATTACATACCTACATAACATCATGCACTTACATTACATACCTACATAACATCATGTACAAACACATTACATACCTACATAACATCATGCACTTACATTACATACCTACATAACATCATGCACTTACATTGCATACCTACATAACATCATGCACTTACATTACATACCTACATAACATCATGCACTTACATTACATACCTACATAACATCATGCACTTACATTACATACCTACATTACATACCTACATAACATCATGCACTTACATTACATACCTACATAACATCATGCACTTACATTACATACCTACATAACATCATGCACTTACATTACATACCTACATTACATACCTACATAACATCATGCACTCACATTACATACCTACATAACATCATGCACTTACATGACATACCTACATTACATCATGCACTTACATTACGTACCTACATAACATCATGCACTTACATTACGTACCTACATAACATCATGCACTTACATTACATACCTACATAACATCATGCACTTACATTACATACCTACATAACATCATGCACTTACATTACATACCTACATAACATACCTACATAACATCATGCACTTACATTACATACCTACATAACATCATGCACTCACATTACATACCTACATTACATCATGCACTTACATTACATACCTACATAACATCATGCACTTACATTACGTACCTACATAACATCATGCACTTACATTACATACCTACATAACATCATGCACTTACATTACATACCTACATAACATCATGCACTTACATTACATACCTACATAACATACCTACATAACATCATGCACTTACATTACATACCTACATTACATACCTACATAACATCATGCACTTACATTACATACCTACATTACATACCTACATAACATCATGCACTCACATTACATACCTACATAACATCATGCACTTACATTACATACCTACATAACATCATGCACTTACATTACATACCTACATTACATACCTACATAACATCATGCACTTACATTACATACCTACATAACATCATGCACTCACATTACATACCTACATAACATCATGCACTCACATTACATACCTACATAACATCATGCACTTACATGACATACCTACATTACATCATGCACTTACATTACATACCTACATAACATCATGCACTTACATTACATACCTACATAACATCATGCACTTACATTACATACCTACATAACATCATGCACTTACATGACATACCTACATAACATCATGCACTTACATTACATACCTACATAACATCATGCACTTACACTACATACCTACATAACATCATGTACAAACACATTACATACCTACATAACATCATGCACTTACATTACATACCTACATAACATCATGCACTTACATTACATACCTACATAACATCATGCACTTACATTACATACCTACATAACATCATGCACTTACACTACATACCTACATAACATCATGTACAAACACATTACATACCCACATAACATCATGCACTTACATTACATACCTACATAACATCATGCACTTACATTACATACCTACATTACATCATGCACTTACATTTCATACCTACATAACATCATGCACTTACATTACATACCTACATAACATCATGCACTTACACTACATACCTACATAACATCATGTACAAACACATTACATACCTACATAACATCATGCACTTACATTACATACCTACATAACATCATGCACTTACATGACATACCTACATAACATCATGCACTCACATTACATACCTACATAACATCATGCACTTACATTACATACCTATATAACATCATGCACTTACATTACATACCTACATAACATCATGCACTTACATTACATACCTACATAACATCATGCACTTACATTACATACCTACATAACATCATGCACTTACACTACATACCTACATAACATCATGCACTTACATTACATACCTACATAACATCATGTACAAACACATTACATACCTACATAACATCATGCACTTACATTACATACCTACATAAAATCATGCACTTTCATTACATACACGATATACTAAATTTCATAATGATGTAACATATTTACGTCACATATTTGTTACATACTGCAGTTACATACTTGTTACATACTTTCATTACACACTAACTTACACATGTACATTACATAATTACATTACACATTTAATAACATACTTATGTTACATACTTAGTATTACTTACATTACATACTTACATTACACAGATTTTGACACATGTTTTGTAAAGTGAGATCTACACTCATGTTATGATCCACAGAACAAGGAGGCTTGCCGCCCCATCTCCGCGTCCTCACCTGGTATTGTGCGGAGCTGCCGAGCGAAGGTCATCTGGTTCTTCCAGATGATAGCCAGGATGTACTCCATCCTCTTGGCCCGCCACAGGAAGTTGAACACGCGCAGGTACATGATGACACACTGGGGCGTGAACACCTGACACACACAAGTCTCGTTAATCACGGTCCAGACAGTCAAGTAGACTCAATGTATGGATAACATTTCGGTATAGATCCTTATACCGTTGTCAAGCAAGGCAAAATGTTGCCTTTACAGTAAATAAAGTTGTTATCCATAAATTGTGTCTACTTTGTCATCTGTCAACTTTTAAGCAATGCCTATCAAACATTTTATTCGCAGTCGTGTGATGATACACCCTTGCACTGGTGGATCGCGATTTTTTAATTCTCAATACAAGTATCGATCACGGTCACACACTAAGTAAAAAATATCAATACTTGCCTTAAAAGTTTGCTTTAACAACTGCTACATCAAACACTAATCAGTAGTGATAATTGGGAGTGTAAACATAAAAATTTGCATCCACTGCGCCATACTTGACACCGCCATCTGTTAATTGTCAGTATGTCAGGTATTCAGCCATCCTGTCTAGGATGGCTTACGCACAACAGATAAGACGACATGCAAGTATCATGATACGTATCGGATTGTGAGCAAGGTATCATGATACGTATATGATTGTGAGCAAGGTATTATGATACATATCAGATTGTGAGCAAGGTATTATGATACGTATCAGATTGTGAGCAAGGTATCATGATACGTATCAGATTGTGAGCAAGGTATTATGATACGTATCAGATTGTGAGCAAGGTATCATGATACGTATCAGATTGTGAGCAAGGTATTATGATACGTATCAGATTTCGAGCAAGGTATTATGATATGTATCGGATTGTGAGCAGGGTATCATGATACGTATCTGATCGCACAGTTGGTATTTGTTTGTTGTTTAACGCCGCACTCAGCAATATTCCAGCTAATGACAGTGGTTTGTAAATAATCGAATCTAGACCAGACAATCCAGTAAGTGATATTATGAGCATGATCTAAGATATGATGACACGCATCAACCAAGTCAGTCGCCTCTAACGACAAGCATAGTCACCTTTTACGGCAAGCATGGGTTGCTGAAGCTCTATTCTAACCCGGATCTTCAATGTTAATTTCTGAAAATGTCACAGATACTTGTGCCTCTATGGACAACATATAAAGGACTTACAGTGCGTATCGGGCCGTCCACGTGATAATCCAGACTGAAGACGTCCCAGCCCGTGTCCCCTGGAGATACCTGAAACATTGAGTGAGTGAGTGAGTGAGTGAGTGAGTGAGTGAGTGAGTGAGTGAGTGAGTGAGTGAGTGAGTGAGTGAGTGTTAAATGTCTCATTCAGTTTCATGCCAGCTGGTGGGGTGGGGTAGGGTGGGGTGACATAGGGTTTAATGTGTTCAAGGCTATTGCACTTATATGGCAAGGTGCGTGTGTGTGTACGTGTGTGTGTGTGTGTGTGTGTGTGTGTGTGTGTGTGTGTGTGTGTACATGTCTGTTGACAGATTCCGAGCTGACCAATCCTTGTTTTTATCCCCTAATGCTGAGTGCCAGACAGGGTAACAACAAGTAGCATTTTTTAATATCTATCTTTATAACACAACCGGGGAAGGAACCACCGATCTTCCACTCTCAGGGCAGATGCTATATCCACTCGACCAAGGTTGGTTGGTTTGTTGTTTTACGCCACACTCAGTAATATTCCAGCTATATGACGGCAGTCTGTAAATAATCAAGTCTGGACCAGACAATCCAGTGATTGACATCATGAACATCGATCCAAGCAATTGGGATCGATGACATGCATCAACCAAGTCAGTGAGCCTGACCACCTGATCCCGTTAGTCGCCTTTTAAGACACGCATAGTTGCTTTTATACGGCAAGCATGGGTTGCTGAAGACCCATTCTACCCTGGATCTTCATCGATCCACTAGACCAAGGAGGCATTCCCATGTGTAGAGAACCCTACACACCATCACAAGTACTGTTTGGGACTGCTTACAGGAGACAATGAGACTAGAGCATGCACACACAGGGTTGTTTCTTGTTTGACGCTGCACTCAGCAATATTACAGCTATAGGACGACGGAGGTCTGTACATAATCAAGTCTGGGCCAGACAACCCAGTGATCAATACTGTGAGCAAAGATCCATGCTGTTGGAGTACACGCTTTCAACCTCGTTTTAGCCCCTTAATGCACAGCGCCAGGCAGGGTAACAACAAGTACCATCTTTTAACGTCTTTGGTATGACGCGGCAAGGGATCGAAGCCCGGACCCTCCGCTCTCCAGGCGGACGCTCTACCACTAGACCACGGAGGCGGTCCTATAATGTTTCATCTTATTAAGGGTAAACAATGAGTCCCAAGTCAATGACTGGTGTAAATTAGCAGCTTGTTGTAAGCTTGATTATTATTTAGTTTGACTGTTTTTGTTATAAGCACACTCAGCAATATTCCAACTATATGGCGGCAACTTGTAAGTATGAGTCTGAATCAGACAATCCAATGATTGATAACATGAGCATACAATCAACCAAGTCACAGAGCCTGACCACCTGATCCATTTAGTCGCCTCTTACGACCAGCATAGGTTGCCAGGGTCTATTTCTGACCTGGAATCTCCAAGGTTGCCAGGGTCACAATCTAACAAAATGCTGCCCTCCCACTAAACAAGGCGCTAGTACCCTTGTACCTCCAGGAGCCGGACGTCCAGCCTCTTGAGGATGTCGGAGTCGTCAAACTGGGCGTTAGTTGCCCTGATGGCCGTCTCCAAGATGCCGGTCAGGTTATGGAGGTACAAGTTGCTGGCCGGCTTGGCCAGGTCCTCCCTGAAAACATGCATCAGTAATCACTGCATCCGACTTTACAGCGAAGAATATGGACATTATATTGCCAATGGAATATGAGCATCGGACATTACGTTGGCCTGGGAATATGAGCATCAGACATTATAGTACAATAGGAATATGAGCATCTGACATTTTGTTACCTCAAAGATTTGAGGGTCAGACATTAATTATCTCTGGGAATATGAGCATCGGATATCACGTTACCTCGGGGAATATGATCATCGGACATAATGTTGCCCCCGGGAATATGATCATCGGACATTATGTTGCCCCTGGGAATATGATCATCGGACATTATGTTGCCCCTGGGAATATGATCATCGGACATTATGTTGCCCCTGGGAATATGATCATCGGACATTATGTTACCTCAAGGAATATGAGCATCAGACATTATGTTACCTCAAGGAATATGAGCATCAGACATTAATTATCTCTCGGAATATGAGCATCAGACATTAATTATCTCTCGGAATATGAGCATCAGACATTATGTTACCTCAAGGAATATGAGCATCAGACATTAATTATCTCTCGGAATATGAGCATCAGACATTATGTTACCTCAAGGAATATGAGCATCAGACATTAATTATCTCTCGGAATATGAGCATCAGACATTATGTTACCTCAAGGAATATGAGCATCAGACATTAATTATCTCTCGGAATATGAGCATCGGACAATAAGTTGCCTCTGGAAATATGAGCATCCAGGAATATGAGCATCGGACATTACATCACATCCAGGAATATGAGCATCGGACATTACGTTACATCCAGGAATATGAGCATCGGACATTACATCACATCCAGGAATATGAGCATCGGACATTACATCACATCCAGGAATATGAGCATCGGACATTACATCACATCCAGGAATATGAGCATCGGACATTACATCACATCCAGGAATATGAGCATCGGACATTACGTTACATCCAGGAATATGAGCATCGGACATTACATCACATCCAGGAATATGAGCATCGGACATTACGTTACATCCAGGAATATGAGCATCGGACATTACATCACATCCAGGAATATGAGCATCGGACATTACGTTACATCCAGGAATATGAGCATCGGACATTACATCACATCCAGGAATATGAGCATCGGACATTACGTTACATCCAGGAATATGAGCATCGGACATTACATCACATCCAGGAATATGAGCATCGGACATTACGTTACATCCAGGAATATGAGCATCGGACATTACATTACATTGTAGATGACTTGTGTGTAGGTTACTTGTGTGTAGGTGACTTGTAGGGGGTAACGAGATGGAAACTACCTACTCTAACAAGTCCATCAAGTGTAGGTGACTTGTGGGGGGTAACGAGATGGAAACTACCTACTCTAACAAGTCCATCAAGTGTAGGGGTTGTGTGTAGGTGACTTGTGGGGGGTAACGAGATGGAAACTACCTACTCTAACAAGTCCATCAAGTGTAGGGGTTGTGTGTAGGTGACTTGTGGGGGGTAGCGAGATGGAGACTACCTACTCTAACAAGTCCATCAAGTGTCGGATGAAGTCTCCCTGTCCCAGCAGCAGGTACCGCCGCATCGCCTGCAGGAACAACAACATCACAGCATCACAACCATGGAAGTCTGCACAAACACATTCAACAGGGCTTCAAAAATACCATTGCCCGACGCCCGTGCCAAGTAAGGTTTGGATGTCGGGCCAGTAATATACGTTTTCTACCATGCCCATGGACAAGTACAGCACACGAGAATGTAATCATGTGATCATGTTACGATATTTCACGGGCTAATATTTTGCTAGTGTCCCGGACTGGCAATCTAATTTGCATACAGTTACACCAGTCAACTTTGATGTCAGACAGGTCATCAATGAGAACCAGGCGTGTTTCATTGATAAATAAGTCATAGTAATACTTCCATATATGGCACATGCTTCTTGGAATTTGAATGATGGACAGTTGACTACATTTCTTGGAATTTGTAATGCGAGGTCGGTCTAGGGCTGACTTTTGAAGCTTCGTTAGGCCTAGCTTTGATGAAATATTTCATTTGACTACATGCTCTCGATCACGAAATCTTGGTTGACACATAAGTCAACAACAAATATGACTTTTAATGAGTCAAAGTATCCCATTTATTATACATGTATCCATGTTGTGGCAAATAAATTTTGTTTCAAGGCGTCAATAATGGTAATCTTACTGTGGTTGATGTAAATATCGGAGAGTTGTGCCATCTACTGATCACTTCACACATGATTTCACCTCAATGAATGTAAACAAATATTGAATTAAATTTTAATAAATAATGAAACAGACATAAGTCCAGATATAACCAGATAGTATGATAATGGGATTAAATTGCATACTTCAGTTCGGATTTGTTGACTGGTATTTCCAGTGTTACGTGCTCGCGGTGATCAGCCGATAATGTTTTTTGAGATGAGGGGAAAAACATTGTGTCCATGTAAAACTAGAGTTTAATAAATATGTAAGTCAATTTTGAGAGCCATGCGTTACATTGCGCTATTACCAAGTTAGCGCTATAGTGAGGGGGCACAATAGCGAGGATACACTGTATCTCTGATTCTCAGTTCTGTAGATGTAATATTTTTCTGAATTTATCAGCTTGATTTTGGGCAAGTAAATTTTTAAATAGGGCAAGTAAGAATGTTGGTCGTACTTGCCCTTGGTCAAGTAACATTTGTCACAAATTTTCAACCCCTGATTCAATTTGGATTTCATCCAAAGTTTTCAACCTCATACTTGGGAAAAGGACAATGCAATATGCACAGGGGCTGACACCATCGGTCATACCCGACTATTCCACAGCTCATTCCGGAGTAATGAGGTGAGGTGAGGTGAAATGGGGTTAAACGTCGCGTCCAAGATTATTGCACTTATATAGCTACGTGCATGCACGTGTATATGTGTGTGTGTGGCTGCTTGTACTAGTCCGGACTGATGCCGATTTATAGTGCTACCTCACTGAGATACCATGCCGCAGTTAACATGAATACCCCACTCAGACACAGTATACTGACTCCGAGCCGACCAGTCCTTGTTTTAGCCCCTTAATGCCGAGCGCCACACAGGGTAACAACAAGTACCATCTTTTAACGTCTTTTGATATGACATGGCTGGGGATCGAACCCCGGACCTTCCGCTCTCCAGGCGGACGCTCTACCATTAGACCACGGAGGCGGTCTCCGGAGTAATAGCTATGTACAATAACTAGAGTGAGTGAATATGGTTTACGCCGCTTTTAGAAATATTCCAGCAATATCACAGCAGGGGACACCAGAAATGGGCTTCACACATTGTACCCATGTGGAGAATCCAACCCAGGTCTTCAGTGTGACAAGCAGCACTTTAACCACTAGGCTACCCCACCACCCCAAAATGGCAATGAGATTTTTGGTCAAAATCAACCTGCCAGCACTTAAACATCCAACAATGTTACAAAAATTACACATACCAATTTTCTTATTCCTTCAAATCTTATACCACAGAACCCATAATGGGCCCTTCACACAAAGGATGCCCCGTGCCATGTGGTCATTTCAGCTCGGTGGTACAAGGTTCAAAGGAAGAAGAAAATTGTTTTGTGTAATATCAGAATCAAAAATAAAAATGTTCATGGTATACCTGGACCTATGTTTGTTATCTATTTTATTAATTTTATTTAAAACTTCATTCAATATTGTTTACAATAATTTCTGCGAAATCGGTAGATCGCACAACTCTCCGTTATTTACATCAACCATAACGGATTGCCGCTATTGACGCCTTTAAACCAGCTTCAGTTGACAGAGAATGGATACATATATCACAAATGTCATACTTTGACTCGTTAAAAGTCATATTTGTTGTAGTTTAACTATTATATATTATATATTCACATGCAGAATATATCCGGCAAATTTGTATTGACTAAGTTTGTAGTCACCTGTTCGTTAACCTGCATTTGCTGAACAAATATGATGTAATTTGTTCTGAGCATAATACTTGAAATATTTTTTTTACAGAATACTGAATCACTGAGAGGGGGTGCACCTATACTCAAGCAAATACAGTAAAAAAAAATTTTACTTTCAACTGTAATGCCCCCATTTCACTACGACCACGAATATCCCGAATCACCCCAAATAGGAAATGTTTCATGTTAGTAGATAAATCACAATCATTTCTTGAAGTTCTTGATTCCAAAACATTCGTACAGTTTGCGGGAGTTCGTCGAATTGGCGAGAAAGCTTTTGTTTGTGGAAGGGTCCCCGAATTGAAATTTCGTGGCTGTATCGTAATTCATTCGTAATTATTTCTTATGTTCCGTAACAGCTTTGTAATCGATTCTTTTGCATTCTTGGCTATTCTTAGCGATTCAAGGCTCCCAAAATTTCTTGTCCTCGACCCGAAACAGCCACAAATGTCCTGAGTCAACTACGAATCATGTAAGAATTAAGTAAGAACAATATTCGTCATATTCGTAACTTAGTCGTAGGTGATTTTTACAATTCGTGCATGATCCGTACATGAATCTTGTAATTCGTACATGTTTCTTAACCCATTCCTGGCATTCTTCATATTTTTCGACCCGATTAGCCACGAAAGTTTGCATTATTGGCCAAATCGTCACAAATTTTGAAAGTTTCCGATTCGGGGTGACTCGGGATATTCATGGTCGTAGTGAAAGAGGGTCATAAGAGACCGACGTTATTTTAATGGTCATTATCCACCGGACCTTGAGATGATCGAGGAACTTGTACTGGTTGTTGAAGACATCGAGGAGATGCTGGCTCGTGTCCTTGTACACCGTGTCCACCATCAACTGGAACTCCGTCACCGTGTCCTGCGTCAGCATCGACTCCGCTGCAATGTGTACGATAGGTTGTTGGTTTGTTGTTTTACGCCGCACTCAGCAATATCCCAGCTATATGGCGGCAGTCTGTAAATTTTGAGTCTGGACCAGACAATCAAGTGATTAATAGCATGAGCATCGATCCACGCAATTGATCGCCTCTTACGACAAGCATAGTCGCCTTTTACAGCAAGCATGGGTTGCTGAAGACCTATTCTACCCCGGATTGTCACGGATGCAATGTGTACGAAATAAATCACATGCTCTCATATCCTCAAAGAAATATGGGTATTATCCGTGAGGCTTGATAAATCGTTCAGCATTCCAAAAGGGAAGGCCTGACTTCAACATGTTCAAGCTGTTTATAGACGTAAACAAGGTCAACATAATTTTGAAAGCAGTTCTGTCACTCCAGGAAAATGTGCGTTTAAGATGTACAAATGCAAGTTTTTGTGCATGATATAAAAGTTTGGCTGCTCTCGACCAATCAGAATTGCCTAAATGTGTGTAACAAACTCATCTTGTAGTCATTTACTAATTATTTTAGGAGATAAAAAAATTCTGTTTTAAATTTACATAGGCCACGGTCATCATTTGCAAATAATTCCTGTTGCAATGTGAATCGGCCCTAATCAGAAGTGGATAAGCGATAGGTTTCAAGCCAGTCTAGTCCATCAATATCAGGGACTTATCTAGACCTGCTTAGCGGTCGATATTTGGCCCCGAGTCTGCAGCAAATGTCAGTCAAAATTCCCTGCAGAAAAATTAATTACAACTAACGTGATGCCTTCATAGTGGTGGCTTGTATTTCACTGGTAACAGGACCACTATAGAGGAAGAGGCTTTACTGCTTATTTTAACATTATTGTATTGAATACATTGTTAAATTCAATATTAAAATACCTCTGAATGTTGGAAAATGTATTTTTTATAGTAAAAATATCTTTAATACTTATCCTGACTCATACTAAATCCTTATGTCATCTCATTTCCTAAAGGGGCGGTCGGGTAGCTCAGTGGTTAAAGCGTTCGCTCATCACGCCAAAGACCCGGGTTCGATTCCCCACATGGGTACAATGTGTGAAGCCCATTTCTGGTGTCCCCCGCCGTGATATTGCTGAAATATTGCTAAAAGCAGTGTAAAACCATTGTCACTCACTCATTTCCGAAATGTAGTGGAAACATCCTGAACTGTGTTCCCGGAGAACAGAAAAACAGCTCACCCAAACACCTGAGCCATGCAGGCGCACTTGAGTCAGGATAAGGTAATGTCGTAAAACACCTTGATGGGAACTCCTCTACCACATCTTGCTGGTCAGGCACCAGGAATATCAAACATCCAGAATATGGTAGGTTCTTGACACATTTTTTAACTGTACAACGAATCTTGTAAACTTGACAAAGTTTTTCTTGAAACGGCCGAGGAAGAACTTACCTTTCTGGACATCGAAGGTCATCGCGACCTCCCTGCCCTTAGTGGGTGTGCGATCCTCACACACCTGTCTGAGGAAATTGATGGTCTTCCCCGTCAACAGGATCTGAAACAGAACATACAAGTTATAGGGCTGTGTATTGGCAATATTGTATGGCAATATTGTATGGCAATATACAGTAGAATATGGATATAACGAACTACAAGGGACCAGAGAAATAAGTTCGTTATATTCGTTGTTCGTTATATACGTTTTCACTCGGAAAAACCCGCCATTCTTGTAAAACAAAACACAATACACGTAATTGCAGCATTGACTTGTATCGGCAGTCATCACTTCATAGCATTAAATTGATACCATTTCATAACATTCATTTAAGTTTAACAAGGTTGATCCGTCACCGCTGATTGTGTTGACACTTCACACTGAGTGAGATTTCTTAGTTCGCTATACATGTCACTAATTACTGGTAGATGGGCTTGTCGTTGTTCATATATCAGTTCGCTGTATCCGTTCGCAGTAGAGAGTTTGCTATGTACGTAAATTTTATATGATATTATATAGAAGATAAATCGGGTATTTTTTAACAGTTCGTTTTATCTGTTTGTTCGCTATATCTGTGTTCGTTATATCCCGAGTTCTACTGTATTACAATAAAGGTCCCCGTATAGAGATATATTTGGAGCTAAAGTGTCTGACAGTGACTGATACTGATTGTACATGCAGATTTTATGTTGTCGATACTAAAGTCAATATTACCATGGCAAAGTCAGTATTGTTTGATGCCGCCATTTTGTAGTCATGGATACAGGGGAGATAATAAAGTGAGAGAAAAGAATCACTTTCCTTTCCACCGTTTTGTCAATCAATTTTGAAGGGAAACATTGTGGATAAATTTCTGTGTAGATTTTAGGTAAAACTAAACAATACAATTAATAACAAAACTTGGTATAAATTTTGTTCTCAATATACTGGAACAGAAAAAGTATTGCAATGGGTATTGTTCGGAAAGCGTACTGCAGTATACGGGTAATACCGTGCAGTCCCAATAAGTATGTCACACGATGGACTTCCAAGAAATATAAAGAAGTTAGGGGTATTCTGGGTACATCTCATCAGCTCACACTAGTGCTTTGACGATACACCAATTGTGCGATCCCATACGTATCACGATACCTTGCACACAATCCGATACGTATCACGATACTTGCATGTGCATTGGTGTCGTCCCACTAGTGAGTGAGTATGGTTTTACGCCACTTTTAGCATCATTCCAGCTACATCACGGCAGGGGACAACAGAAATAGGCTTCACACATTGTACGATTGTCGGGAATCGAACCTGGGTCTTGGGCGTGACAAACAAAGGCTTTAACCACTAGGCTACTCCTCCGCCCCTGTCCCTCTACTGACACTGTAGTGTTTTTTAAAGTCGCGTAGCTCACCTTCCTGGCCTGCTCTGTGGTGACAAACGTTGGGATCATGGACTTCCGCAGACTGTACTTGTCATACCACAGGAGAGCGTTCTTCACAGTCGGGTCCGAAGCCACGAAAAACTAAAGGATAAACAAGTAGTTTTATTATACCTCCATGTCAGAATCATGAGATCTGATTTGTGCCCTGTGTGCTGTACATAGGACCACGTGCCACTCCAAAACCACCGCTTGCTCAAAACCATGTCATATGAATCTTTATTCCATTCTACTAACATCAATATCCTACAGCCAGTTTGCTGCCATAGTTTCAGCATGGGTCCAAATGAAACAACACAATGTCAAGAACATTCGCCCAATCAAATTACGCTGGTGTGCGAGAGGAGTGGAGAGTGACTAGAAAGACGTCACTTCATAAACAAACCTATTGTTGCAAACTGAGCCAATGTATTTATCTCATATAATGGAGCCAGGGTATTTACCTAACAGAATGGAGCCAGGGTATTTTCCTAATACAATGTAGCCTGGGTATTTACCGTACAGAATGGAGCCTGGTTATTTATCTAACAGAATGGAGCCTTGGTATTTACCTAATACAATGGAGCCTGGGTATTTATCAGAAAGAATGCATCTTGGGTATTTACCTATTAGAACGGAGCCTGGGTATTTAGAATGGGGCCAGGATATTCAGAATGGAGCCAGGATATTTAAAATGGAGCCAGGATATTTAGATTGAGGCAGGATCTAAATATCCTGGCTCCATTTTAAATATCCTGGCTCCATTGTAAATATCCAGGCTCCATTCTATTAGGTAAATACCCAGGCTCCATTGTATTTAGCTTGTTTGTTGTTTAACGCCGCTATCAGCAATATTCCAGCTATATGACGGCAGTCTGTAAATAATCGAGTCTGGACCAGACAATCCTGTGATTGACATCGTGAGCATCGATCTACGCAATTGGGATATGATGACATGTATCAACCAAGTCAGCGAGCCTGACCACCCGATTCCGTTGGTCGCCTCTTACGACAACATCAGTTGCCTTTTACAGCAAGCATGGGTTGCTGAAGGCCTATTCAACCCCGGATCTTCACGGGTTAAGATATTTAGAATGGAGCCAGGGTAATTAGAATTGAGCCAGGGTATTTAGAATGAAACTTTTTGGAATTGGTCCAATGTTTTCAATTTGTTTCTCCAGGCCTGTTTCCAAATTACGGTAGTACAAGCCAGCGCCAACTCAAAATCAAAGTGTCAGGACTATCAGTGACTGACCTCATGGTACGTGTCTTCCAGCTCGCCGTCGTAGACCCATCGCAGCAGGGTAGCGTATATTGGCTGGGAAACCTGCACATAACAAACATAAACTGTCAATGTTAGAGAACAACTAACTTAGATTTTCAGCCGAAACAGATTCCAATTGGCGTAAAAGGAAAAATAGCTGTATGAATGGACCAGTGTTAACACCAGGTGTTTGCGAAAAGGGCGAGCAAGTCCCGCCCGACCGGTGGCACCCCGCCCCGCCATTCATACAACCAGGGACTTATCTAGACCAGCTCAGAGGCCGAAATTTGTCCCCAAGTCTGCAGCAAATGTCTGTTCAAATTCCCAATTTGGAATTAATAATTACATTTTACATTGCCCTCATCACTACCTCACCTCATATCATATCATTGTCCCCCCCTTAACTACAAATCTCTGTGCGTTCCCTTATATCTTTTAAATCTTCAAGTGATAACTTGTTTCAGTGCCGCAATGCAGGAATTCGAAGACTTGTTTGTTTGTTGTTTAATGACACACTCAGCAATATTCCAGCTATATGACGGTGGTTTGAAAAAAAATTCAGTCTGGACCAGACAATCCAGTGACTGACATCATGAGCATTCATCTAGCAAAGGGGATACTATCACATGCATCAACCAAGCCAGCAAGCCTGACCACCCGATCCTGTTAGTCGCCTCTTGCGACAAGCATAGTCGCCTGTTACGGCAAGCATGGGTTGCTGAAGACCAATTCTACCCCGGATCTTCACGGTTCTCTGGACTTGTAATGTAAAGATCCAACACTTTACCCACAAAGCTACATACTACTTTAGGAGGGGGCACGGGTGGCCCAGTCGTCTAAGGCACCGCGATTCGCTGTGCAGAGTTGTGTCCCTTGGGCCGTCAGAAACCTATGTTTGTGGGTTCGAATCCCGGTTCGCCCCGATTATGTATCTAGGTTTTTCAGCACCGTACCTGTGCTCGTGGGTTTCACCAAAGTGGTAAACGTCTAAGACCTGCACCACTTCAGGCTTTCCTCACACATTAAGCTGACACGCCGTGATATAACTTGAATACTGTTAGTGGCATTAAACCCAACTCACTCACTACTACCTCAGGATGAGACTTACAATCTGCAATGAGCAGTCTATTCTAAGATGTTCTGTGAAACCTGTCTTTGCTACCACTTATATAGAGCTCAATAAAAAAAATTGGCAAGCATTGACATTATTGATATTCATTTCTCTCCTACCATGGTGAGTGTGTGTTTGATGAGGGCTCGAATGTAGGGGTCGCCATGCTGCATGTACGAGTAGATGCTTGAAGCAAGAGCTCCGCCTTTTTTCCCTGAAAACATATGAAGGCTATACAGTGCATCTTTACACACATCTACCAATGTCAAGTCTACCTTAACATACATCTACCAATGTCAAGTCTACCTTCACACACATCTACCAATGTCAAGTCTACCTTTACACACATCCACCAATGTCAAGCCTACCTTTACACACATCTACCAATGTCAAGCCTACCTTAACACACATCTACCTGATGTCTAGCCTACCTTAACACACATCTACCTGATGTCAAGTCTACCTTTACACACATCTACCTGATGTCAAGCCTACCTTTACACGCATCTAACAATGTCAAGCCTACCTTTACACACATCTACCTGATGTCAAGCCTACCTTTACACACATCCACCTGATGTCAAGTCTACCTTTACACACATCTACCAATGTCAAGTATACCTTTACACACATCTACCTGATGTCAAGTCTACCTTTACACACGTCCACCAATGTCAAGTATACCTTTACACACATCCACCAGTGTCAAGTATACCTTTACACACATCCACCAGTGTCAAGTATACCTTTACACACGTCCACCAATGTCAAGTATACCTTTACACACATCCACCAGTGTCAAGTATACCTTTACACACGTCCACCAATGTCAAGTATACCTTTACACACGTCCACCTGATGTCAAGTCTACCTTTACACACATCTACCAATGTCAAGCCTACCTTTACACACATCTACCTGATGTCAAGTCTACCTTTACACACATCTACCTGATGTCAAGCCTACCTTTACACACATCCACCTGATGTCAAGTCTACCTTTACACACATCCACCTGATGTCAAGCCTACCTTTACACACATCCACCTGATGTCAAGCCTACCTTTACACACATCCACCAGTGCAGCAAGAGACTTCAGCCTGACGAGGGGGTCGAAGGTCCACACCATCAGTCGGCGCAGCGTCAGGCCGGGCTGCGACTCGGAAAACCCCTCGTCCTGTTCCTGCTGCAGCTGTGGACAGAGTTATGTCCCTTTGAACAGGATGTCATGGACAATGATAAGGGGGTAAGCGGGGTAAGAGACGATTTCCCTTTCCATATTATACCATGGCTGAAAACTTTACAGTTGATATTTCAAGACATTCAAGACACTGTATAGCCTTCTGACTATCAATAACTTCTAGTGGTGACTATGTGGGATATTTTCACTATTGGAATAGTACCCTACAGTGGCAATAGTATTGCAATAGTACCCTACAATGGCAATAGTATTGCAATAGTACCCTACTGTGGCAATAGTATTGCATATAGTACAGTACAATGGCAATAGTATTGCAATAGTACCCTACTATGGCAAAGTATTGCAATAGTACCCTACTATGGCAAAAGCATAACAATAGTACCCTACAATGGCAATAGTATTGCAATAGTGAGTGAGTGAGTGAGTTGGGTTGAACGCCTCTTTTAACATTTTTTCAAGTTATATCGCGGCGTGTCAGCTTAATGTGGGAGGAAAGCCCGAAGTGATGCAGGTCTCGCATGTTTACCACTTCGGTGAAACCCACGAGGAAGGGGTATGGTGCTGACAAACCTAGGAACATAATCGGGGTGAGTCGGGATTCGAACCCACAATCATAGGTTTCTGGCGTGCCCAAGGGACGCAACTCTGCACAGCGAATCGCGGCGCCTTAGACGACTCGGCCACCCGTGCCCCCGTATTGCAATAGTACCCTACAATGGCAATAGTATTGCAATAGTAGTAAGCAAACTTTAAGGCTTGGTGATTATATTAATCAACGTAATAGAAATGAATAAAGTACTGCTGACAATGTTAAAGTGGCCCTTCCCCTCCCTGTTGCCACTAAAACAAAAGTTCGAAGTTGTCATATCCTTGCTGAACACACCCAGGTTTGAAATTCAACTGTAACAGCTGAGTTTTATGACACGTAATTTATGTTTTATTTATAACTGAATGCAACTATAAAATTGTTGTGCATATTATCGACAGTACCATCAGTTTTTTTCAAATTCCTACCTTTATAGTACTGTCGTAAGGCAAAAAATTGCAATACATCTATAGCTCAATACATCATTACATCCCTAATAACTTCAATACATCGATAATTCGATACATCATTACACCCCTAATAACTTCAATACATCGATAGTTCAATACATCATTACACCCCTAATAACTTCAATACATCGATAGTTCAATACATCATTACACCCCTAATAACTTCAATACATTGATAGTTCAATACATCATTACACCCCTAATAACTTCAATACATCGATAGTTCAACATATTGTTACGCTCCTAATAATTTCAATGCATCCATTGTTCGATATGTCATTACATTCCTAATAATTTCATAATTCGATATTTCGATTAATTCTGAATATCTGATACTAATATACCCAGAAGTCTTATATATCTTATAACAAAACTATGTCTGTGATGAATTATGGGTAGATCTGTTTAAAGGGAGGTAACACTGGACAGTGAAGGCGACAGTACCTGTGCCTCCAGCACTGCAATCAACCGGTAGAACTCCGTCATCTCGTGATGCAAGGCGGCACAGAAACTCTGACAAGCAGAACAAGAAACTGTTAGTGTGCTACCAAAATAATGAAACTATTTTCTCAACTTTAATATCATGAGAACATCATTTTTGTTCTTGTGACAAATCTTATTTCACCTCATTTCCAGTAAACATATATGTACAGTTGAACACTAAAGTGTCACACTTTCAAGAGACCTGAAAAAGAAGTTAGACATATGCCATCTATTAAAGCTCAGTTTCCATCCTGGCCGAACTAGGCTGCAATTATGAAGTTATATTTTGGCTGGACTAGAAGTTGTGCAGAGTCCAATCAAAATCGAATAACAAAATTGACATCCTGTTTGTAAACGGTCATGCAGTTTTTGGTCGATTGCAGGATTTGCAAAGTATGTGTACTTAGCATCAACAGATATTTTCCAAATCTTTTCATGTTTATAATCAAGGTGCTCACGTGATTTGATGTACTTCGCGAAGTAAGACCCGATTTATAACAATATAGATCTTAATTTTCGAACAGATCATCTTCACTGGGCGACGCCATTTTAATTGAAGCAAATGCAAGTGAAATGAGAGGTGGAATCTGATTGGTCAATAGGAGGAACATAGAAGGGACATAACTCGTAATAGCCACTGGTGGCGCCACGATCGAGCCCAGAAATTCCAGCCTACCTCGCCAATGGTGGAAACTGGACTTTTAGTCATTTAACTCTTGTCTCGGGAAGATGGACATATGCATGCGTTCGACACATCTCTAAACAGTTTCTCAACATTATTCACAACACGACATGAATGATAACGTACGTGATCACAGCAGAAAGTCCATGTAGTCCATGAAAGGATAATAAAATAAACAAACTTTTGTATCTTGACACTGATGGTGAGGCATGACAGCCTCACATACTGTCGGTTTGACTCATCAATCCAGGGCCCATCGGCCCATGGCCAGCAAAAAGTACCAAAGGCTTGCTGACACGTAAACTAGATGGTCCGCTGGCTAGTCAAAATTTCACCCCTTCTCTGTGTATGATTCATTTTTTAAATTGGACACAGCTCGTGAATCGTGTAATTTTGATGAGAAAATATTAAGGGGTGATGAGGGCGTGTGAATGGTTAACTTAAAGATCATCTCGGTAGGATGACGCAACCAGCGGCATTTTTTAATGTTGTGTACAACATCTTTATTTGCTCATAATGCACAAAAATGCACAAAATGAGGCTAATGGAAGCCAACATTTAATCTCAGAGTGCAGGAAAAGACGTTTGATGAATGAAGAGTTCCCAAAAAAATCTAATACATCCAAGTTTGCAGGAATTCAACGGGATCAGAAATCAAGAATGCAACACATCAGTGATCGACAGAACAATTCAACTGTATGTGATCATGTGAATAACACCATAATATTTTTTCCGGACTCCATTCTTTTCTCCTTATTCATGTGAATCTGGTTGTGGTACCTGTCCCACGAGGCCGAACGCCTTGTCCGAGCTGCGCGTCTCCACGTAGGCCTTGATCTTGTTATACAGCCAGCCACACTCGGCCAGCTTGCTGATCAGCTGCCGCACCGCCTTCGGGATTCCCGCCTGGGGACACACAGACACACAGCTGCAACATCCTGGGCAGGTCAATTTTTAATTATAATCTAATTTAATTTTATTTATTTTTAGGTATAATCTAATTTAATTTTTTAATTATAATTCAATTTAATTTTTTTTTAATTTTTAATTATAATTTTATTATTTTTTATTTTTAATTATACTCTTATTTAATTTTTTTAATTCTTTAATTATTTTTCAATTTAATTATTTAAAAAAAATTTAATTATAAAGGAAGAGGAGATAAGGCCCACTATTATTTTTTACCAAAACAAGTTGCCAAAAATTTGGAAATATTGAAATAAGTGAGTGAGTGAGTGAGTTGTGTTTAAGCCGCTTTTAACAGTATTCCAGTTATATCACGGCGTGTCAGCTTAATGTGGGAGGAAAGCCCGAAGTGATGCAGGTCTCAGACGTTGACAACTTCGGTGAAACCCACGAGCACGGGCATGGTGCTGACAAACCTAGAAACATAATCGGGGTGAGTCGGGATTCGAACCCACAATCGTAGGTTTCTGGCGTGCCCAAGGGACGCAACTCTGCACAGCGAATTGCGGCATCTTAGACGACTGGGCCATCCATGCCTCCCTGGAAATATTGAAATGAAAATGCCGCACTCAGCAATATTACAGCTATATGCAGCAGTCTGTAAATAATCAAGTCTGGACCAGACAATCCAGTGATTGACATCATAAGCATCGATCCACACAATTTGGATACGATGACATGCATCAACCAAGTCAACGAGCCTGACCACCAGATCTTGTTAGTCGCCTCTTATGACAAGCCTAGTCACCTTTTACGGCAAGCATGGGTTGCTGAAGACCTACCGGGGTATTCTACCCAGATCTTCACGGGGAATGAGCATGGGTTGTTGACGACCTTTTCTGACCCAGATCTTCACAGGTCATTGGTGTATGAACTCTCTTAGAGTTAGGGCCAAACTGTATAAACAAAGCTTACTGTGGGGTCTATCCGGTAGCCCTCTCTGCTTGAGTCGAACTTGATCCAGTTGCCCTCAATGCCCTGAAAGGCATAGATCAGGTCCTTCAACAGGTCTGCCTCTGGTATCTCAAACGACTCTGAAAGCATCCAAGAAAGGCTTGAGGTGTTCTGATAGTTATGTGAGTGTTTGTGTGAGCGAGAGAAAAATCTCATCAGCAGTACTGCAGCTTTTTTCGGTTTGCATAAAGGAAGAGAATACAGTACCTACCAAAACAAAATTACCTGATTCGACATAATAAGCGCACCATTCTTATAAGTGCCCACAGCGATGTTTGCTAATATATTGGCTGGTCAACAATCCCTAAAACACCCTTCCGATTGATCATTGTACACAAGCCTTATATATTTGTGTATAATACACACTCATGTGTTATATGCACCCTTAATTATGGGCAATTAAATTCTGGAAAAATATATCCTTCGTGTATAATACACACAGACTTTTCTTTCTTATCATTTCAGGCTGTCAGCATAAACAACAAAATTTACGATCTTTCAACTCTTTCACCAAAATAATATTCTAATAAGAGCCCCCTATTTCTAATTTTGAGAGCGCCTGGCCACTTATAACATCGAATACGATATTAAATTTTGACCATTAACCTAATTTTTTTAATAAAAATATGGGATCTCCTGCATCATCAGAACATATTTTAAAACTATTTCACCATTCCCTTTTCCGCACATAGTTTCCATGCTTACTTAAGGAATAAACAACGAGTGGGAGTTGTTTATCGTACAATAAAACACTGCAGGGAGACACACCGACCATGAGTCGTTTATTTCTTACAGGAGATATCAACATTATGTACAGCTTCATTAAGGGTGTTGATAAAATGTACAAGCTTATAAATATTTACCCAAATTGTATTAATGATGAATCTCTGAACACAATCCGACCATGGAAATGTCGGACAAGTCCATTTTACGAACAAGTGGGTTACGTTTGCTATTTCCCGTCAAGTCCTTACGTCAATCATCTGTACCTTTTCTCATGAAGCATGGGGGGTGGGAACCAATACGCTATCAGAATTCCTCTGGATAAAGCACACCATTTTAACATTTATACTTCCATAACGAGTCAAATGTCCAATGACTTGAGGGCTTTGATAATTCTTAAATGATGCATATCTCCTAAAAAGTGCCCTTATCAGATCTGCTTTATGTTAACTCCTTATTTTGTGTTAGGTAGCCTTGTGGTTAAAGCGTTTGCTCTTCACGCCGAAGACCTGGTTTGATTCCCTACATGGGTACAATGTGTGAAGCCCATTTCCGGTATCCCCCTGCCGTAATATTGCTAAAAGCGGCGTAAAACAATACTCATTAATGCTGGTAAAGTGTGTGAAACCATGCCTGATGTCCCCTGTCGTGGAATAGTGCTAATGGAGTAAAACAATATTCGCTTTCTCACAAACCCACTCAACTCATACCCCAACCACTCACCCGCCCCAACTCACTCACACACACACTCACCCACCCTTTCACCCCAACTCACTAACTCACTCACCCACTCACCCACCCACACACTCACTCACCCACCCACTCACTCACCCATTCATCCCAAATCACTCACTCACTCACCCCAACTCACTCACTCACTCACCCATTCACCCCAACTCACTCACTCACTCACTCACTCACCCACTCACCCACTCACTCACAACCTTGTTCCCCCTGCCCCTCTGGCCCGACTCACTGTTTTCTCCCCTGTGTATTGTAATCGATGTCGGCACACCTCGGTTCTTGGTCACCACCGACAATTCTGTGGAACAAAAGAGAAACAATTTCATGGAAAGACAAGTGTGTTCCATTCATACCAGGGTTGTTCCAAAAAACAACGCTCCCTACTCTAAAGCTGACACTAAACATCAATAATTTGTTGAATATTTGAACAACACATGTAATGTCTTCACCACTTCAGGCCTGAAGGTGAGGTGAGGTGAGGTGAGGTGAGGTGAAATGGGGTTTAACATCGCGTTCAAGATTATTGCACTTATATAGCGATGTGTGTGCATGTGTGTCTGTGTGTGGCTGCTTGTACTAGTCCGGACTGATGCCGATTTATAGTGCTAGTTAACTGAGATACCATGCCGCAGTTTAACATGAATACCCCACTCAGACACTGTATGCTGACCCCGAGCCGACCAGTCCTTGTTTTAGCCCCTTAATGCCGAGCGCCAGACAGGGTAACAACAAGTACCATCTTTTAACGTCTTTTGGTATGACGAGGCTGGGGATCGAACACCGTACCTAAAGTGACCTAAATTTCAGTTTGTCTACTGTCTAAAATTCAGAGTCAGCCAAATTACTACCTTGAAAAATATCTTGTGGCGACTAACTTCTATTGCTTCACATCTGTAGACACAAAAATAAATACCAGCTGATCTTGGACAACACGTCTGATAATAATTGTACTCACAAATATTTCCTTCTAAAGTCGATAATGAACCAAAACACATAAATATTAATGTAATTAGTACTTTATTTTAGTTGACAATACTCATTGGATAAGCAAGGATATACCTATATATAATCTAGTAACATAAATTGCATCATTGTTCGAATCACAAATAACAAATATCAAGTACAGTTTCCACTAGTATACAATTCCAAGACTAGTGCTGTGACCTGTACATATTATAATAGTTACAAATCATGTGACTGACACTGGCTGTGAATATTGGCTTGTCACATGATCACTATTGACCTGTCACGTGATATATTGTAAAATGACCTGTATCGCATCCAAAAGTGGGAGATATATGACAATCATTATTGATAGAAAAGGTACAGATAATTGACGTGAGGATTGTGAGTGCGGGAAATACCAAACTTAACCTACCTGTCCGTAAAATGGACTTGTCCCACATTACTGAGGCCGGATTATACTCAGGGAGTCATCATTATTAAAATTTGGGTAAATTTTTGTAAAGATTGTACATTTTATCAACATGAGGCTGTGCCCCTAATGGTTTATGCTCCCTGCAGTGTTTTATTGCATGATAAACAACTCCATCTCTTCGTTTATTTCTTATTTGAGATATCAACATTAACAGCCTCTTTAAGGATGATAATGAAATGAACACACATTAAAACTAACTCGTCGTTTATTTCTTAAATAACAATATTGTATAATGACCTGTATCGCGTGTCTTGCTGAGACTCTGTGCAAGCCGTCCTCCAAGTCCTCGTCCTATTCGATCCAGGTCAGCTGGATTATGGGCTGGCGTTGCTAGGTAACTGGAATGCAACAGGTCACCATGAGAATTGTGTGGAAATTGGAACAACTGCAGTATTTCCTCACATGTAAAACTATTTTTCACAGAACTGCAGAATTTTCCCTCCTAACAGTATCACCATCTGCATCACCATCACTGCAAATAATGGCAGATTTGACAGATGGCTTGCTGCACAATTTAAAGAATTTACTGCGAAATACTTCAGGAACTGTCAAATATGTAAGGTCTGAAGGTTTAATGATGCTTAGAACAATATATTCAAGGCATTCCATTGTGTCAGCTTAAAGTTGCAGAAAAGCCTGAAGCCAATCATCAACGACATACAAAAACAAGAATCTGACAGTAGATCCTGGTACGCCAATGAGGCACAATTCTGCTCAGTGAATTGAGCACCTTAGACTGCTGAAGCAATCATGACCCTTAAGTGTCTGATATGTGGATGTTGTTAAATGTCAGTAACATCATGGCAGCCCGCAAACCACTGACAACCACTCAACCAAGCTACAGAGCCTGACCAACCAATCAACGTCCCAGAGTCTGACCAACCAATCAACCAAGCTACGGAGCCTGACCAATCAATCAACAAAGCCACAAAGCCATCCAACCATCAACCAAGTCACAGTCTGATCAACCAATCAACCAAGCCACAGAGCCAACCAACCAATCAAAAAAGTCACAGAGCATGACCAACCAATCAATCAAGTCACAGAGCCTGACCAACCAATCAACCAAGTCACAGAGTCTGATCAAGCAATCAACCAAGTCACAGAGTCTGATCAACCAATCAACAGAGTCACAGAGTCTGATCAACCAATCAACCAAGTCACAGAGCCTGACCAACCAAGTCACAGAGCCTGACCAACCAAGTCACAGTCTGATCAACCAATCAACCAAGTCACAGTCTGATCAACCAATCAACCAAGTCACAGAGCCTGACCAACCAAGTCACAGAGCCTGACCAACCAAGTCACAGTCTGATCAACCAATCAACCAAGTCACAGTCTGATCAACCAATCAACCAAGTCACAGTCTGATCAACCAATCAACAAAGTCACAGAGCCTGACCAAACAATCAACAAAGCCACAGAGCCAACCAACCAATCAAAAAAAGTCACAGAGCATGACCAACCAATCAATCAAGTCACAGAGCCTGATCAACCAATCAATCAAGTCACAGAGCCTGATCAACCAATCAACCAAGTCACAGAGCCTGATCAACCAATCAACCAAGTCACAGAGCATGACCAACCAATCAACCAAGTCACAGAGTCTGATCAACCAATCAACAGAGTCACAGAGTCTGATCAACCAATCAACCAAGTCACAGAGCCTGACCAACCAAGTCACAGAGCCTGACCAACCAAGTCACAGTCTGATCAACCAATCAACCAAGTCCCAGAGTCTGATCAACCAATCAACCAAGTCAAAGAGCCTGACCAACCAATCAACCAAGTCACAGATTCTAATCAACCAATCAACCAAGTCACAGAGCCTGACCAACCAATCAACCACAAGTGAAAGCATACCTTGGTATATAGGTCTGTGGCACTGGTGTCGGACCGTCGCTGCGCCCACTGTGAATGCTGCTGATGCCGCTGCTGGCGGTGCTGTGAGACGTGGAGTGGACACCAGACACCCCAATCCCTGGGGTGTCCTGCCCCACCCTGGGGACATCGCGCCCCACCCGTGCTGCAGGGTGGAAAGGGGTGGAGGTGGCATAGGTTGAGAGATTCTGTCCGAACACTGAGCTGCTGAAAGCACTCTGAAACAACACGAACAACATGAACATCAAGGCTCCAGACAAACAACATCGGAAGTTAGAGATGTTGTTTGCTGTTTGTTGTTTAATGCCACACTCAGCAAGATTTCAGCTATATGACGGCGGTCTGAAAATAATCAAGTCTGGACAAGACAATCCAGTGATTGACATCATGAGCATTGATCTACGCAATTAAGATACGATGACATGCATCAACCAAGTGTGCCTGACCACCCGATCCCGTTAGTCGCCTCTTATGACAAGCATGGGTAGCTGAAGATCAATTCTAACCCAGACCTTCACGGGTTAAAAAAGTATTGATTCAGTGGTTGAGTGCAATATTGTTCATGTTGTCATCAAAATGTGGGCTCTTCACAATTAGATGTGCACATATACCTGTGACATTTTACAGCAACACGTTTGTGAAAGCAGACACACAAATGCCATTTAAAAAGTGGTCAAATGTAACAAATATTATATTTAGGACAACACTTTCTTAGTAAAGTACAGATTCTAGTACTTCCTGGGTTGCGTCCCATCTGAGATTCGAACCCACACTGCCAGAGTGAGGCGCCTAATCGCCAGCACACAAAGTCAGTGATCTAACCCACTCAGCCACCGAGACTTCCACAAAATGAAAGTCCGACAACTGGTAGTCTAGATCACGTACTTTGTGTACCCCTCTGACAAGTGTAAATTGGCACAGCTTAGTAAAGTACAGATTGTAGTACTTTATGGGTTGAGTCCAATCCGGGATGCTCCCAGGTGCAAGCTCTATTTACTAGACTACTCCCCTTTAATCAAGTCCTGGTAAATACGGCATCAACCATCAGGACTCACCTTGTTCCCAGACTTGGCGCCATTATCACTCAGAGACATCAGCAGGTACAGCAATGCCCATCGGTTCTTCAGACCACTCTGTAGACAACAAGGAAACATAGCACTCAGTAACCGTGGTAACAATCAAACTTCAGCCCCCCCCAATTGGCGACCAGTGACCAAATTCGACATTTGACAACAACGACACATAAGGCTGCTGCCTAGCTGCTACCGATACATCACAGCAAAAAGTTGGATGACATGTTTAGCATTTGGTTTTCAAAACTTGTCTTCACTTAATCAGCGATAGAAGCTAACAGTTTTAGCACACCCGACAAAAGGGCAAACAAGAGTTTGCCACTAACGTGGCTATATCCCCCACCCCTGTTGCAGAATTTATGACATAATTAAATCTAAACAAACCCTAGCCTTTTTTAAACGAGGTGGAACTTGTCATGGAAATTGTAAAAAAAAGAAGAGTTTGTAAGCTAAGTCCATCTTGTTGCCATGGAAACGTAAAAAAAAAAAAATTCTAAAATTTCTAAATAGCAAAAGGCACCAGTTCAGCATGTACCTGACAAACCTGCAAAGTTTCATGTAAAAATATTGAACGGTTTATGAGTTATGTTCCGGAAACGAACCCTAACCTCACAGAACCTAAGTCCATCTTGTTGCCATGGAAATGTAAAAAAAAAAAAAATGTAAAATTTCTAAATAGCAAAAGGCACCAGTTCAGCATGTACCTGACAGACCTGCAAAGTTACATGAAAAAATATTGAACGGTTTCTGAGTTGTGCCCCGGAAATGAAACGTGACGGACGGACGGACGGACGGAGCCCGTTTCTATATCTCCACCAACTTTGTTGGTGGAGATAATAATTACGACTAGTCCTTAGGATACATTAACTATTGGGCAGTTTGGACTATAGGACTAATGCCAATATCTAACACTGTAAGGTGTCATAAACTTGCTTTCGACTGGATCATAATGTTTCTTTACTGACCTATACATCGTCTTGAACTTAGTTCATGTGAAATACCGATTTGTATATTCTGAAAAAATAACTTTTAAGGATATTAACTTCTTTTATTCTTTGTCACAATGTTTCAGAGCTACTTGCTATGTCATCAGGTGGCTGCTTAGTGAGTGAGTGAGTGAGTTGGGTTTAACGCCGCTGTTAACAGTATTCCAGTTATATCGCGGCGTATCAGCTTAATGTGGGAGGAAAGCCCGAAGTGATGCAGGTCTCAGACGTTTACCTCTTCGATGAAACCCACGAGCACGGGTATGATGCTGACAAACCTAGAAACATAATCGGGGCGAAACAGGATTTGAACCCACAATCATAGCTTTCTGGCGTGCCAAAGGGGTGCAACTTTGCACAGTGAATCGCAGAGCCTTAGACAACTGGGCCACCCGTGCCCCGCGATGTAAGTGCAGTGTATATTCTGAATATTGTGAATAGGAATTACTTAACTCCACTATTTCATGGGATCATATCCTGTCCTGCAGGAAACTATCGATAAACTGGACAGCAAATACAAATATCTTACTTGTGCTTGAAGCTTCCGATGTAACTCCGAGAAGATTGCTGCATCCTTTTCTCGACCCTTCCGAACCACTAAATGTACAAAACATGAGAAATTGTACGCACTCATATACAATACAATTGTACACAATTACGACGATCTGAGGATACCTCCAAAGGCGATCGAGTCAGGTGAACTTTCTAATCTGCCTCTCAGCATCAAGGCTTCTAAAGTAAGAGAGAATGAAGTATTAAGACAAGCATTTCCTCTGCATGTCCAAACCGGGTTCAAACGTAACAATACGCATTAGGGTGAGTGAGTGTGGTTTTACGCCGCTGTTAGCAATATTCCAGCAATATCACGATGGAGCAAACCAGAAATGGGCTTCACAAATTGTACCCATGTCGGGAATCGAACCTGGGTCTTCGGTGTGACGAGTGAACGCTTTAACCACTTGGCTACCCGACTGCCCACATTAAGTATTAGAGGCTGGTCACATGATCCCTTTTGGAAACCATACCATGTGTGGTAGATATATGGAAAGCTCTTGGAAATGCGCATTCAACAGTATCACTAAATAAATCCAAACTACCATAATAATTACTTTAAGCCATTTGGAGTTATGAAAAAATCAAACCTTTCAGTAATTTTTAACTGTCTATGAGTATGAGGAACCCCTTAAACTTCAAGAACAATTAACCATTAATCGCCTTTTACGGCAAGCATGGGTTGCTGAAGACCTATTCGACCCCGGATCTTCACGGGGCCCAAGTAGCCATGACACTAGAAACCCACTGAAAATTATTTACGTACGCTGCCGCTTGATTTTTTCAGAAACCTGAAATTCATCACTCTCAATGGGAGGAGCAAAATTGCTGAAATAAAGCAAAACAAATGTCAGATTATTTAGATACACATTATTCTTTTGTTATGTTTTCCGACTTAAACCAAAAGACACAATAAAAAATAAAAAATGCAAAATACAAAAATACAGTGAAAATAGTTTCAATTCAATTTCTAGAAAGAAGGACTAGTATCTAAACATCAGGTTATTTTACACTAACCAACAATTCAGAAATTATCTGCAATCTCGTTGAATATCAGGGCTCGATTTAGCTATAACATGCACCAGTGCAGCCTATTAAAATATGTAACCGAATGCCTACATGCACCAAGTGCACCAAGCATGCCAAGTGCATGTTAAAATAATTCAAATTTGCATCTTGACTAATCCTTTATTGTCCACACAACATCGGTCTTTGAACAAACTCAATACTATAAGATTTATTTACCATAATCATTACTAATCCCTGTTACCATGGTTACGTGTAACTTGATATGCTTTCTTGTGCTTGACATCATCAAACTGTGGCTACCTGAAGATTATGTACTATCCTGTAGTTTCATCTATCTCTGGAGCCGACCACCATGTCACATTATCATGATTATCATACTGAGATAAACTAAATGACGATAATCATTATGCATGATGTGACAGTTGCCATTGATGACATTGCTACCTAAGATTGTTTGTTTGTTTGTTGTTTAACGCCGCACTCAGCAATATTCCAGCTATATGACAGAGGTCTGTAAATAATCGAGTCTGGACCAGACATCCTGTGATTGATATCATCAGAATCATTCACAGAATCATTCCAAGTCAAGGAGCCTGACTCTTTTAATCGCCTCTCTTGAGAAGCATCGATCTACGCAATTGGGATACGATGACATGCATCAACCAAGTCAGCGAGCCTGACCACCCGATCCCATTAGTCGCCTCGTACGACAAGCTCAGTTGCCTTTTACGGCAAGCATGGATTGCTGAAGACCTATTCTACCCCAGGTGGGCCGTCAGGCGGGTGAGAGAGTTTGTGAGTGAGAGATGGGTTTTACGCCGCTTTTTGCACTATTCAAGCAAAATCACCGCGGGGGACACCAGAAATGGGCTTCACACATTGTACCCATATGGGGAATCAAACCCAGGCCTTCGGCTAGACGAGCAAATGCTTTAACCACTAGGCTACCCCACCGGCCCTTACACATACGTAATGTAACAGAAAGCACGACCTGTATTAAAAATCATGACACAGTCATCAGAGATCTGAGATTTTATTTATTTAGACTAATTAACACATCCATGTTTCAATTTTAATAAATTTATGAGACCTGGTTCTGTCTGGTGCAACTAGATTTTGTCTGGTGCAACTAGGTTTTGTCTGGTGCAACTAGATTTTGTCTGGTGCAACTAGGTTTTGTCTGGTGCAACTAGATTTTGTCTGGTGCAACTAGGTTTTGTCTGGTGCAACTAGGTTGTGCAACTAGGTTTTGTCTGGTGCAACTAGGTTTTGTCTGGTGCAACTAGATTTTGTCTGATGCAACTAGATTTTGTCTGGTGCAACTAGGTTTTGGCTGGTGCAACTAGGCTTTGTCTGGTGCAACTAGGTTTTCATGTTAACATGCACCAGGTACAAGTCAAATCAAGTTCCTTAATTGGCTCCCTGGATATCACTAAGGCAGCTGACCAGAAATGCATTTCTATGTCGCTGCCTTTATTTCTGATTACAAAATATAACGAGGGAACCACAATAATTTAACAAAAGATAACCATGGTAACTGTTAACTGTTTGAATTCAAACTGATCACGTGTACAGGAGATATAGCTTCCTGTTTCACCCCTGACTATAATAATATTTAGGTCTGTGCTTATGCCCCTATTTCACTACGACCACGAATATCCCGAATCACCCCAAATAGGAAATGTTTCATGTTCGTAGATAAATCACAATCATTTCTTGAAGTTCTTAAATGAATCTTATTTGATTCCAAAACATTCGTACAGTTCGCGGGAGTTCATCAAATCGGCGAGAAAGATTTTGTTTGCCAAAAACGTTTGTGGAAGGGTCCCCGAATTGAAATTTCGTGGCTGTATCGTAATTCATGTTCCGGAACAGCTTCGTAATCGATTCATTGCATTCTTGGCTTATCTAAGCAATTCGAGGCTCCCAAAATTTCTTGTCCTCAAGAAACATCCCGAAAACATCCCCAAACAGCCACAAATGTCCCGAGTCAACTACGAATCATGTCAGAATTAAGTAAGAACATTCGGAATATTCGTAACTTAGTCGTAGGTGATTCTTACAATTTGTGCATGATCCGTACATGAATCTTGTAATTCGTACATGTTTCTTAACCCATTCCTGGTATTCTTCATATTTTTCGACCCGATTAGCCACAAAAGTTTGCATTATTGGCCGAATCATCACGAATTTCGAAAGTTTCCGATTCAGGGTGATTCGGGATAATCGTGGTCGTAGTGAAAGGGGGGCATTACAGGAAAATGATGTTTACTCCCATGACTTCATGTTTGTTGTGGACAGTCACCATGGTGACCAAAGATGAACCATCAACCTTTTACATTATCACTCATGATATATCTGGAGTTACCTGCCGAGGATGCGCAGAGCAAACTGGTAATGAGGAAGTACTGCATCTGCAAAGTAAAGAAGCGTAAATTTTATATTGGTCTGATTGTTGGCTTATAGCCCCACAGCAATATCACAGATATAAAATAATTGAGTCTGGACCAGGCAATCCCTAAGTGGCCTTGTTTGTTCGTTGTATAACGCCGCACACAGCAATATTCCAGCTATATGACGGTGGTCTGTAAATAATCGAGTCTGGACCAGACATCCTGTGATTAATATCATCAGCATCAATCAACAGAATTGGATCAACCAAGTCACCAAGTCTGACACTTTTAATCGCCTCTCTTGAGAAGCATAGGTTCCTGGGAAACAGGGGTTGATTTAACTGCTGGCCCGATGGCCTGTGACCAGCAAAAATTACAAAGGGCTTGCTGAAACTTAAAGTTAAATTTTTTTTATTCAGATCATCTCAATAGAATGACCGCAATTTTCTTATGTTCTGTACAACTTCTTTATTTGTTCACCATGAAAAACGTTTTCATGGTTTTGGGGACGAGGAGTTCTAAAATTTTCAGAGCCCTGCTAGGAGGCTACGCGACTTCAGGTTCGGCCACTTTGCGCTTCCACCATTTAGTTGTAAGCCAGTATACAAATATACCAAATACAGCCCATGCAAGTCTATAACATGTATAATGTTTGACAAATCTAGATTACTGCAGTATACAAATATATCAAATACAACCCATGCAAGTCTATAATGTTTGGCAAGTCTAGATTACTGCAGTATACAAATATATCAAATACAGCCCATGCAAGTCTATAATGTTTGGCAAGTCTAGATTACTGCAGTATACAAATATATCAAATACAGACCATGCAAGTCTATAATGTTTGGCAAGCCTAGATTACTGCAGTATACAAATATATCAAATACAGCCCATGCAAGACTATAATGTTTGGCAAGCCTAGATTACTGCAGTATACAAATATATCAAATACAGCCCATGCAAGTCTATAATGTTTGGCAAGTCTATAATGGTTGGTAAGCCTATATTACTGCAGTATCAGAAAATGTAGGGAGTCTCTGGACGCCTTTTTATATTTTTATTAAGATAATTTAACAACTGTTTTTTTCAGTACGATATGTTCAGAGAATAGATGTTAGCCTGGATTACCCTGCCTTCCTTTTGCCCTTTTGGTCCTACCATGCCTACTACTACTTCCGTTTGTTAACCTTTAGCCTGCTGAATTATTTTCACACTTCTTATCCCTGCCTGCTATCTACTCTGTCAAACGCCTTTGAAAAATCAACGGAAAGTGCATAAAATTTTCCACCTGCCTGCTGGATTAATTTTAGCATAAGGCGCTCTAAAGAGGGTGGGTGATTTCAAACAGTCGGTGCCTCATTAAACAAGGGCCAATTGAAGAGTTTTGTTTGCGGGTGTCCTTATGCTATTCGCCTGTCGAACTGATTCGACAGTAGCAACACGGCTAGTGACAAACTCTGTCGAACTGGTTCGACAGTAGCGTTGAGAGCTTTAAATTGTCCATTTCTAATCACCTATCAGTGTGAATCAACTGTTGGTTTCCCTTACTAAGTCTCACCCTTGTTATTTTAATGCTTTTGTTGTTCTAACAGGTGCATATATATGCTCTCCGCATCCTTGCATTCATCCAACTAATGAAGCAGCAAGCAGATACTCCAAAAATTTAAGTTTCGACCACTCATACAGCACAGCTGCTGTTACCATACTTGACATGTTCACTGCGTACACTACATGGGTGAGGAGTGGCGTGCTTGTCATTATAACTATAAGATTATTTGACAAGGTTACCGAGAACAAAGAGGCCGTCACACAATCTTGGCGACTGTCATAACTGTCGGATGAACTTGTGTAAACAAAGAGAACACACTAACACCAAACTTTGTGAGATGCACAGTCTAATATAGCACTCATATTACAGCATTGTTATCATGGTTATATATATCGTTGTTTCTGGCCATGTGCTGTGAGCCTGACATGACGTGAAACGCGAATATGTTGAGGTAAAAATGTGTCACACTATCTATGCGCGCAAGAGTGTTTTTCGTATTAAATTCATAATTTACAGAACATGACTAAATGGTCATGATTTTCATTGTTGATGTACAATAATGGCACTAAAATTGACTTTCAGTTTATGTGAGTTCGTTGAAGTATGAACCATTTATAGAATGGGCTAAACAGTTTGAACACTGAAGCTTGCAACAACGTTCATAATGTTAGACATGATAACATTTAGAACTGACTTTCACTTTGTGAGAGTTCACTGGAGCATGAACCTTCATAGAGTGAGGGGTAAATGTAGTTTGGTTACAACAAATAGATTAAAATACTATCGCCATTTGATGAGAAAAGTCTGTCCCGAACTACCTCTCAGTCATTAAGTGCATCATAATCATGATAATACGAGGGGTGTTCATTAAAGATTTCCCCTAAACCACTTAGGGTTATCATATTTGGTTGAAATTTCACATGTGTAATGATACATGTATCTATGGGTTATGTCTGAATTTGCAGCACCGAACTATTAATCTTACCACTTTTACAGGTGTTCTGATCGAGTAGGGTGTGACAATGGAGCCAGTAGAATACCGAGCAGTGATTAGGTTTTTATATTTGAAAGGTCGCACACCAAAAGAAACTTTCGATGAAATGAAAGCAACTTATGGGGAAGATGACCCATCATATGACGTTGTTAAACACTGGCATCGCCAGTTCAAGTGTGGTCGGACATCTGTGGAAACAGCTGCCATTCCTGGTCTCCCCCATTCAGCCATTGATGAGGACACTATCCATCAAGTGGAGACCGCCATTTTGCTCACGGTGTTTTGGGACCAGCATGGAGTAGTGATGATGGATTTCTTGGTAAAGGGAACCACAATTACAGGAGCTTATTATGCTTCACTGCTGCGGAAATTGCGGGACGCTATCAAGCTTAAGAGGCGTGGCATGCTGACCAAGGGTGTCCGTCTCCTGCAAGACAATGCTCCAGTACACAACTCTCATGTTGCCCAGACAGAAGCGCGGTCCTGTGGCTATGAAATCCTTCCACATCCTCCTTTCTCTCCTGACCTTGCACCATCTGACTTCCACCTCTTTCTAACCATGAAGTCATTTTTGAAGGGAAAATGTTTCACAGATGATGAAACACTGATTTCTGAAGTCAAGTCCTGGTTTGAGACGCAAAATGAGGGCTTTTACAAGCGAGGTCTCAAAAGTTGCATAAAACGATGGGAGAAGTGTGTAACTCTTGGTGGTTCCTATGTGGAGAAAGACTAATACTTATGCCATGTTTCATTCCACTAGGTCCATCGGAAGTGGGTCAGGGGAAATCTTTAATGAACACCCCTCGTACCCTTACTTCCCAGCGTTAGAAACAAACAGTTTACATCCACTAGTCCTTATAATGATAACATATATAGCAAAACCCTTAAAAAGGGCAAATTTCTACTTGTCTTTATGATGCCTTAACTATTGGGCAGTTTGGCAAGGACTACAGGACTAGTGCCAATTTCTAACGCTGACTACCTCTGAGTCATTGAGTGCATCATAATACCCTTACTTCCCAGCGTTAGAAACAAACAGTTTACATCCACTAGTCCTTATAATGATAACATATATAGCAAAACCCTTAAAAAGGGCAAATTTCTACTTGTCTTTATGATGCCTTAACTATTGGGCAGTTTGGCAAGGACTACAGGACTAGTGCCAATTTCTAACGCTGACTACCTCTGAGTCATTGAGTGCATCATAATACCCTTACTTCCCAGCGTTAGACACAAACAGTTTTCATCCACTAGTCCTTATAATGATAACATATAGCAAAACCCTTAAAAAGGGCAAATTTCTACTTGTCTTTATGATGCCTTCAATATTGGGTAGTTTGGCAAGGACTACAGGACTAGTGCCAATTTCTAACGCTGCTTCCACTTACAGGATGTCAAAAATGTTCAACACGATCATACTGACAGGGACTACACAAATATTAGAATAATGTGTATTTTTACACATATGGATACAATCTGAAATCTGTATTTCTTCATTCAGTGACGCACCCACCTGGAAATTCTTCAATCAGTCCACAATTTTATTGTCACAGGTAAAAGTATTTAAATGGTAGTTATAATCATGATAATAATCAAAAAAAATTATTTCTAGACAAAATATCAAAATTGATATACCGTATTCGACGTAATCATGGTAATAAGCGCCCGGGGCGCTCTCAAATTTAGAAATTGGGGCCTCTTATTAGAATATAATTTTGGTGAGAGAAAAAACAGAGTTGAAAGATCGTAAATTTTGTGGTTTATGCTGACAAATTGATATGATACAAAAGAAAAGTCTGTGCGTATTATACACGACAGATATATTATTCCAGAATTTAATTGCCCATAATTAAGGGTGCATATAAAACACGAGTGCGTATTGTACACGAATAAATAAGTCTTGTCTACATTAATCAATCGGAAGGGTGCTAATTGGGATTGTTCACTAGCCAATATATTAGCAAATATCGCCGTGGGTGCTTATTAGAGCAGGACGCTTGAGTACGGTACTGCATTCCTATAGCTCCAACACCACTAGCTCTAGCTGGTACTGAAAGATTTGATAATTACTGTGTTAGAAATTGGCACTAGTCCTATAGTCATTACCAAACTGCCCAATAGTTAAGGTATCCTAAGGACTAGTGGAAATGTGCCCTTTTAAGAGTTTTGCTATGTTATTATAAGGACCAGCGGACTAAAAGAGTTAGTTTCTGTCGCTGTACTTTACTTACATGAGCTATATATTTTGTGTCAAGAATTTGGTACAATGATTATTATGGTGAGTCGTTTCGGGATACAATGCACTTCTTTTCTGCTTCCATTCTATCATGTTCTATACTGGATGCACATTTCTCTGTCATCAACCCTGTTAGTAGCATCAAATGAAATACGGTTTCCGGTATTCTGTGGGTGTACCTACCAATCAGTGTTTCCTGCTAAAAAATTACCAGCCCCCCTAATTTTTGTCAGTCCCAGCTTTAAACAAATAAAAAAAACACATATAAAAATGACCCGCTTTTAATTCTTTCAACACTATGTTCAGTTCACCTCTAAAGTAACTTAGTTAGATCTACACATCATTCAGACAAAGTTCACTCACAATTTTCTCTTTTTTATTAATATTTTGACACAAAGTCGCTTCAAATAAATATTTAACCTAGATGCAAAGGGAAATATTATTCCCTTGCACTAAAAATAGACAAGGGGAAACCCTGATGGTAACAGACAAGCTGACTTCGTTTGAAAAATATACGTTTATGAATATCACCGATGTTTTGTTCGACTACAAAGATTTATTAGGTACTTTATTTGCCTGTCCACAGGGACTGGCAGACACATGAATTACCGGTCCAAGTCTAATTTTACCGGTAAAAAACTGGTAATTCCCGGTAAACAGGAACACTGGACCAATACGTTGGACAGCATTTCTTCATTGTGTTCACTGGGATGGGTTAAAGTGAAGGTCATTCAACCCTGCAGTTCAAGATAATAGCGTCTAAATGATAAGAAACAACTCTTCTGTATTTTTTCATTCTAGGGGATTCCCAAGTGTTACCCAGGAATTTTCAAAGCGGTGTTTATGTCATTTCAAGAATAGAGTCTTATGTAAAATCTGATTGTTAAAGTGTGTTATTCATATACTTATATTTTTTTAATTTGAAGTTTACACGATATACGGCTCTTCAATTGGATGAGAGGTCGGTCACCTGACCGCGAAATTGACGTTCATAAGTGTATGAATGACACAATTTGCTGTTCAGACATTTTCCACGAGACCATGTTCTTGAAATGACATAAACACTGACCGACTTGTTCCATCATGTCCACATTCCCGGGGAAAACCCTGGGAATTCCCTAGCACGAATATATACAGAAGCGTTCTTTCTGGTCAAGTAGACCCTTTAGCATGTTTAGTCGTGTACTCAGCGTTTTAGTTTACACTGAGAAACGTCAGAGAGTTTGACAGCATGATTGTTCACGAATATCCTCGCTATGACCGATCCTAGTGACCAAAACAAAGAAATTCACATCCAAACTATCATAGTATCGACATGATCTGTGTCTAGACTGACAGTGACAGTATACAGCAATCTATGAATGTACCTTAGTGTCTATTTGACACATCTTTAATCTTTCAATGATCTGCCAATTGATCCATGATGACTAAAACATGCAACCGCCACAGGTTCATCAACAACTTCCGAAATCACTCCTGTCACGTTTATCGTGTTGGCCATTTTGGCATCTTGTACTTGATAATGTTGATGTAAATGTATTACAACGGTCTGTCATTGTGACTGACTTACTGAGATAGTTCTTAACAGACCTATCCCATCTAATGGTGATATTATTTGAATACATGTGTTGCATAAGATGTTTCTGAAGAGCAAGTTGTGCATACATATGCTCATGTCACCTCTCTTTTTGAGGAACTAATTTATTCAGCGATATAGCTAGTTGTTGTATGGCTGTCAGTGTAAACAAGACCTCACACATACCAAATAAACTTTTGTATTGATCTTAGATCATCTAGGCCTACATCTTTTGAGGAAAGAAACTGTGTCACAGTGTGCAAGTTCTTAATTCTTAAATGAACATGATGAACGTGAGTTTCGCGGTCATGTTACCAACCAGTCATGTTGTCCAAGGGAAAAGCTCCGTAAACTTCACACATACTTTAAATGTCACAAAGGATATGGATATTCAGCATATTGAACAGATTTCTAGTGAGGATTTTGGGGATATGCCCTAACATCAAAACTTTAATTTAGGGCATATGCACAATCGACAGATTACCAGCTGATTACAGCCGCATTAATTTTGCTGTCAGGGATCATTTTATGTATCTGCGCATGAGACAAACAAGAAACTGTTACTTGTATACTGCTGGTCGAATCTAAGAAAGGTCGATGTCCAGATCAGCTAGATGTCAAAATATGTCAGAAGTCAGTCAAGCAAGATTCTGCATGTCTACCTACCGTCTGACAGCCCCGTAACTTTACAACACAGCCGCTGCAGCATCGCCGACGGCGAATTTACATCACTGCTGTGTCTGGTACTCATGGTTGTGATGTATACAACTTAACAAATATCCCAGCAACTGTATGTAAACACAATTAGATATCCAAGCATAACTTTTCCTTTCGAGATCCCGCCATACTGCAAATTAAGTAAAGCTAGACATCTTCGTATTTACGGTTAGCTTCGTATTCATACTTAGTAAGCCTGTTATTTTGATACAGTGTGGACTATAATTATAATTAACATTGAATATATCCTACAATAGTTTATTGATTCATTACTCACAAATGTAGGTTCACTTATCGTTTGATTTGAATACCAAACTAAACATTGCGGATATTTCCACGATGACGATTTCTCAAACTGAGGTCGAATCCTCAAATTTTAGGTTCGGGGAAGGGTAGATCTAGAGTATTCAGGGGGTCGCATGTGCTTAATAAAATTACATTCTTAAAGGGTCCCTCATTAGTCCCATGCATACCGGGTAGACTCAATATTCCCCAAGTGATGGAGAAAGACAACTATTTCATAACCCAGTGGTTATGGTTGGGTGAACATCATCCACAGGTATGGGGGGAAGGGATCCCAATGTAAAGTTTTGTTCTTTGTTTACGCCACACTTAGCAATATTCTAGCAGCATGACCTGTGCGTGTAAAGGATTAAGTCTGGGCCAGAGATCTGATTGATATTATGATCAACAGATGATTATTTTAGTGTATAATGACATGCAATCGACCAAGTCACCGAGGTTGTCCACCCGACCCATTAATATCACCTTGTGTGATAAACGTAGGTTGCTGGGGGCGACCCCCATGGAATACACTATATATTAGGGCTGGGACGAGTCCAAATTTACTACCCGCCACCCTATTACCCGGCCCTACCCGGATACCCGCTATAGGTCTCAAGAGTTGGGTACAAAATGTCAGAATGGGAATTGTTTTACCGCAGCCCGGGCAAAAACTATGTAGATACATGTATAAAACAATCTGATCATGTATAATCTGCAGTTGCTAGACGCTTTATCCTTACTTGAACATATACAAGTCATATCGAATGCTTGCATAGTGAGAAAGAAATGTGAACATTAGCTATACTTGTAGTGTAGCCATTGGGTTTTATTGTTAATGTCATCAAACAGTATATAACGTGACTAACCACAGGTCCGGGTAGTCATGTGGGTACCCTGGTCCTACTCAGGACCCCCCCGACCCGAGTACCCGAGTTACCCATCCCAGCCCTACTATATATATACACCACATTTATCCATCTTATAATGGCCTTTTGTAGATATGGTGATGGAGGAATATAGTGTATGGGTTAACAAGACCCTGAAGTATTGTTTGTTTGTTTGTTGTTCAATGCCACACTCTGCAATATTCCAGCTACGTGACGGCGGTCTGTAAATAATCATGTTTGGACCAGACAATCCAGTAATTGACATGAGCATTGATCCATGCAATAGGGATACGATGACAAGTCGGCCTGACTTCCTGATCCCGTTAGTCGCCTCTAACAAGCATAGTTTCCTTTCATGGCAAGACTAGGTTGCTGAAGACCTGAAACTAACACTTTTAGTCCACTAGTCCTTATAGGGATAACATAGAGCAAAACCCTTAAAAAGGGCAAATTTCTACCCATCCTTATGATACATTAACCATTGGGCAGTTTGGCAAGGACTACAGGATTATCGCCAATTTCTAACGCTGTATTCTGACCCGAATCTTCCCAGGTCTCCTTCAGCTGACTCCTACACACTCCCATGACCTTGCGTCAGAGAACTTGCCCCATGTAGAGGCAGGTAAACACTTAAGAAAGGATGCTCACACAGGAAACAGAAGTTGACAATTAGGCCACACTTTTCAAATTTTATGTGTCCCAGATTTATTCCAGCTTTTCCACACAAGGTTGGTTGAAATTTATTTATTTATTTATTGATTTATTTATTTATTTATTTATTTATTTATTCTGCTGGTAAAACAGCAGCTGGCTTCTTGAATCCCTAATAGTGATGTAGACATGGAATTTAGATATAAATTTTATATTGATTAAGAGGATGGCCAGTGAAACGAAAAATATAAAATGTGTGGTGTTACATATAATTGTGAGCTTAAATGCAGGGACAATGGCTGACAAACAGCAAATAGCTCAGTAACTAGAATGAGGAGGAACTTGTCACTGAAACAAGACACCACCAGACAAACAATGTCAGGACATTCATAGCAATCAATCATTTAGTTTACTGATCTCTTTTTCAAAACCAAGTCATTGGTTAACACAATCTAGCATTTTGAAATACTGTTATTTTAGGTTATGTGTTTTAGAACATTGTTGGTTGAGGGAAAAATATAAGCAAAGATTTTTTTCAAATGACAAGTCACATGGTTACTTCACTCCCATCATTAACCAGATTTTAAATTTAGTTTTATATCACATTGGTATATATCTGACCAAGTGACTCAACCCCTTACTGTCGAATTCTACGCTTGCAAGCTCAATTGATCAACAGCTGCTCTCCTTTTAACTGATAATGTCTTGAGTAGTGAAGATGTGGTATTTACCTTTATATAGAGAGAATCTCATCCGAGGGTCTTGTGATATCAAATATATCATCCAACATCATTCTTCCAACTTTTTTAGTTTGTAAACATTAATAAGCAGTGTCTTAAGTGTAAAGTACTGCTAACAGCTTCAGTAGCAGAGCCATTATTGATGTCATTTGATTGTGGCGTCATGATAACAATGATGTCACAATGGTCTGCAAAGGATTGTGATGCAATTTCATTGCAGCAATGTCTACAATGCACTTGGTGCAAGTAGACATAAATATTTGGTTGCATTTTTCAAAGTTTGAAAACACTCAATACCTCGAAGCTTTATTTACCATACTACATAGCTAGTCCCTGTGTTATGTGTAATTCATGACACATGACACATGACACAATCATCATAGATCTGAGATTTTACTTATTTAGACAAGTTGATGCAATTGTTTTTCAACTTGGATAAATTTATGGGACCAGGTGCAGCCTGGTTTTGCCTGGGGCAACTAGGTTTTCATGTCAACATGCACCTGGTACAAGTTAAATCAAGTTCCTTAAATTGAGGCCTATAAGTGGTGAAGTTAGTACATGTGTTTGAAAAACAGCCAAAATACACCGCCTTATTAATTTTGAAGATTGACTAGTTGTTATGATCAATCATCAATCAACGAGTTTCCAACCAATTACAAACACCAGTAATGGCTGACGAGGATCATGTCAACTGACCATCTCAGGGACCCTTTAAGATCCGGGATAGAATAGGTCTTCAACAACCCATGCTTGCCGTAAATGGCGAATATGATTGTCGTAAGAGGCGACTAACGGTATCGGGTGGTCAGGCTCGCTGACTTGGTTTATGCATGTCATCGTATCCCAATTGTGTGGATCAATGCTCATGATGTCAATCACTGGATTGTCTGGTCCAGAATCAATTATTTACAAACCGCCGTCATATAGCTGGAATATTGCTGAGTGCGGCGTTAACAACAAAGACAAAAAGACAATCAAAGGAAATTAGATTCAAACTGTTCCAAACTACCCTTTGGTGGTAAACTCTTCTGTTATTATGTATATCTATCTCAAACGATTTCTAAGTGGCTAACATATGGACTGAGCCTGAAAAAAGAGGTATCCAGAGATTCATCTAGACCTGCTAAGAGGCTGATATTCGGCCCAATATCTGCCCCAAATGACGTCAATTCCAGGGGCGGTCGGGTAGCCTAGTGGTTAAAGGGTTCGCTCCTCATGCCGAAGACCCGGGTTCAAATCCAGACATGGGTACAATGTGTGAAGCCCATTTCTGGTGTCCCCCACCGTGATATTGCTGGAATATTGCTAAAAGAGGCGTAAAACCAAACTCACTCACTCACTCAATAATTCCAAATTTTATTTTAAATTTTCCAATTCCTCAGAATTTATACAATTAGAACATAATACAGCCAATTTTGAACAATATGATTTTTTCCAAATTTCCTGCTAAGGGAACAAGATAATTTCTAGATAAATCTCTGACACCATGACACGGACAATAGCCACCCTTCAAGGGAAGTCAAGCCAGGGCTCTAAAACATGAGGCTATCGCACCCCCCTGACCCATAGTGTGGACTTGGAGATAAACACTATGTAATGAATCATGGTTGTCGCAGAGTATTTGATTCCGGGCATCAAATGGTCAATAACCCCCCACAAATCTGAAAACATGTTGACTGACATTGTAAAATACAAAAGTTAGCTGAAGCTCTTTCTCCCTTGAGTCCCCACATTATCGTGCATGGTTGTAATACTGAGTGAGTATTGTTTTGCGCCGCTTTTAGCAATCCAGGCATAACACGGCGGGGGACACCAGAAATGGACTTCACACATTGTACCCATGTCGGGAACCGAGCCCAGGTCTTCGGCGTGACGAGCCAACGCTTTTACCACGAGGCTATCCCACCGGTTCTTTGATACTGACATGACGTGTCACATTTGAATATGATGACACCATCATACAAAAGATGACGTCACACCGAACTCGCCTGGTTAGATTTATGTAAAAAAATAGAAATTACGGTAACTGAAATTGTGATACATATTTATGAAACTTTACATTTAATTAATGGGATATCCATTTTGCCAAGCCGAATGGTAGGTCCTAAAAATTTCAAATTAAGAAAACAAAGCACACTTATCAAGTGATACGCAGTGAAAAATCTTTTGGATTTCTCAGACCAAATCGACCCGTGATGTTCCGGAACAGAATAGGTCTTCAGCAACCCATGCTTGCCATTAAAGGCGACTATGCTTGTTGTAAGAGGCGACTAACGGGATCGGGTAGTCAGGCTTGCTGACTTGGTTGATGCATGTCATAGATTTCAATTGTGTTGATCGATGCTCATGTTATTAATCAATGAATAGTCTGGTCCAGACTCGATTATTTACAGACCGCGTCATATAGCTGGAATATTGCTGAGTGCGGCATTAAACAACAAACAAACACACTCAGACCAAATCCCATTTAAGGTTTTTCAACCAATCAGAGTGCATTGGTGTTTATTGCAGCTACATCACATAGCAGTAAAAAATCAAACCAAAGCTTGTCGAACAAATGCAAACACTGATAGTTTCTATTTAAAAGGAGGGGTGCAGTTTTGTGATTTGCAGTTCACCTTTTGAAAATGTGTATTTATTTTTTAAATATATCACTACATGAGTAATAGTGTTGCTCTTTTTACTTAAAGTATACTGGATCAGCTATAAAACGTTTGAATGTATAAATGTTAGACTTTCAAAGGGGTGTGACGCAAGGTGGTCATTCAGGCGAAACCACAAGTACTGCTATGGCACTAAGAGGCCAAAGATCATAACTTTGGTGAATCTGGGGTTTGAACACTCACCAGATCCTGCTACATCTAAGGGAGGCAACCCAACACAGTAAGATGATGTGCCCGAGACATCTGGATAAATCATACCACCTACACTTTTAGAAAATTGACCTTGAAAGTCCTTGACTGACCTCATGGACATATGACAGGACAGACAGATTTTGCCACCAGCAGAGATGTCTCCGACATATTGCTACCTGGAGCAGGACATATGAAAGTTACGTAACTTAATTAGCTTCACTGGAACTGTGCTTTCTGAGGAAAGATGTTTACAGTGTGTGGGATGCATTTTAAGAGAATTTAGGTCAAAATGTGTGTTCAGCCTCAATACCAACCACACAAATACCAAATTTCATTATATTTTCACAGAGTAATGGCCATAAGGTGAGGTGAAATGGGGTTTAACGTCGCGTCCAAGAATATTGCACTTATATAACGACGTGCATGCATGTGTGTGTATGTGTGGCTGCTTGTACTAGTCCGAACTGATGCCGATTTATAGTGCTAGTTCACTGAGATACCATGCCGCAGTTTAACATGAATACCCCACTCAGACACAGTATACTGACTCCGAGCCGACCAGTCCTTGTTTTAGCCCCTTAATGCCGCGCACCAGACAGGGTAACAACAATAACCATCTTTTAACGTCTTTTGGTATGACGCGACCGGGGATCGAACCCCGGACCTTCCACTCTCCAGGCAGACCCTCTTCCACTAGACCACGGAGGCGGTCAGTAATGGCCATAAGAAAATTGAGCTTGAAGTCAAAGGTCAAAATTTTAAGTGTCTGACGCCGAGTAAACAAATTCCAGATTTCCATGCATTTTGAGCACAAATGGCTGCCTAGAATACCCTTAATTAGGCTTTTCAATTAAGCTGCTGTGGTCCAGTAGTTGCTCAGATGATATGCAGGACATGAGCAAACTCACTTTACGTTCAGACAGGTGAGCTAATATATAATTCATTCAGATGTGACAAGTTGTCATGGTTATGTTTGAATGGCAGCAAATACAAAATGGAGCCACAAGGCGCTGTAGCTCACCTGACTTAGGAAGAAATAACCATTGCCATGTTCAAAATCGAAGTGGAATTTTGTGATCAATCTTTCAAGACACATCATTAAATGTCTACAGGCCTTGTAGTTCCAGCCCCATAGGTCTTGCATTTTCACCTCCATGGGCCTTCTAGTTTCAAAGTTGCAAAAAAGATATCAAAAATATATATTGCTGCATATCTTATTTCATTATGATACATGCAGAAGTGGCCGAATGATATTTTCAAAATGGCTACCGTGGTCACTAGATTTTAACAAATGTGGCCATACATTTTGGACAAAAAAATGACACACAGTACCTTAATCTTATTAAGAGTTTATTGTAAACTAAATTTCATAACTCACTTTTCTTACTACCAATAATTTGTTTGTCTATTTTGTCACGTCTGAGCTGATAAAATTGAAATAAACCTGCTGTTTGTTCAATCCGTAGGTTTAGAAGTGATTAAAAACTTGTAAATTTATCAAATGCAAACCACATAACATGTTGGATTTCGAATGAAATGTACATGAGTCAAATCACCATTTGAAACCTCCAAACACAAACACTAGGTTTATCTCTCAATTGTCAAACAGCTGGATGATACGCTGTGACATCAGCTCACGTAAATCCTTTGTCCAAAATAGCATAAGAAACCCAAACAAACAAGCACATAATTGACCAAATGAAATGGAATATTTTTAATGTTTTACAACGAGACATCAGCATGAAATACAATCATATGAAGAATAAAATTAAGGATTTTTTAAACCTGTCTACATAATATTTACCAGTGTATGTTCCACAACACAATCCAATTGAACATTACATACATCTAAAACTCAATGGAAAGAATTGACAATCTGTTTAGTGAGACAACACTCATTATATTCCATAACTTTCCAAGAGTGAACAAAATGAATATTTGCAACGATTCGAAGGTAAAATAACTGGACCCAATAGTGATAATTGGAACCAACGTTCTCAAGGAAATGAGAATGTTATTGTCATAATTACAGTATTCAAGATGTAGTGATTGAATGTCTACAATAGACGACACATGTTTACAACCAATGTACAAGAAATTTCAGAGCCATAATGAATCCATTGATTTGAATTACAAATACTAGAAGTATTTTAACACTAAACCGGCATTCAATCCATCACACAGGATGGGCAACACCCTCAACATTGTTAACGTTCATGCTAAAGTGAAAATTGAGCACACTACAGTATAATCTAAATAATTATTCCAGTTTCTACAACACCACTTCAAAAGAAAAACAGGAGATGAGAACAAGGCTAAAATGGACAGCAAAGTTTAGATCTTTGTATTTACTGTTTTCTTGCACTGTGTAGAATATTACTAATGTCATCCACTGGTGATCATCTCATTGCATCACAGTTTTTCTTCATGTGTACAAATGTCTAATCATTATCAAGCATCATTCGTTTGATTTACTTTTTCGAGTTCTTTAATGTATTGGACAGCCAATCTAGACCTTCATACAAGCCATCACCACTGGTAGCACAAGTAGCTTGAATGTACCATTTGCGGTTGCGCAAACTGTGGAGTCCAAGCTTGTCGGTTATTTCTGCGGCATTCATCGCATTCGGTAAATCTTGCTTGTTGCTGAATACGAGGAGTATAGCTTCCCGGAGCTCGTCTTCGTTGAGCATTCTATTCATTTCTTCCCTTGCTTCGGAAATTCGCTCCCTGTCATTGCTATCAACAACGAAAATAAGACCCTGGGTGTTTTGATAATAATGTCTCCACAACGGCCGGATCTTATCTTGACCGCCTACATCCCATACCGTGAAATTGATGTTCTTGTATTCAACGGTTTCAACATTGAAACCAATGGTTGGGATTGTTGTCACAATTTCTCCCAACTTCAGTTTGTATAGAATAGTAGTTTTTCCGGCAGCATCGAGTCCAACCATGAGAATTCGCATGTCTTTCAATCCCATTAAGGAACGGAACATTTTCTGGAAAATGTTCCCCATCTTAATGCCCCTATTCCAAGTGAATTTGCTTCAGTAACGCTTTCGTATCGATGCAAACATGGAGGACGTGGCAATTGGGTCGTAGGCGTTTCCGGAACAGAGTTACTGTTCTTGATGCGCGTTTCTGGACAACAAAACACATATAATAACCGGTCAATCGTTTGTCTGTCGAACCACAACAAACGACGATTCAATCTTTTATTTCAATGAAAGGAAACACATTTTATTATTAACAGCGGCTATTGTATAACTGAATATTTATACTCCAGAGACCCTTCTTTGTCAAAATCAAAAATACTGTGCACGAAAATGCGCAGTGGAGCAGATTGAAAGTCTATGTATGCGCGAAGAACAATTATAGATAACGTTTTGTCATATATAGGACAGTGTCATCGAGGCGTAAACCAATCCGATAAAATCGACATCACAATCATATAAATATACAAATGATTCATTTAATCTCCATCCATTGATTCGCTGCTTAAGAGACGATTGACTCACGTTTCCAATACGTTTATATTTGGGTTGATTATCTGGGTGGGGGGATTTATTCGACAAATATTGTCTGTAAATCATTTGGTTCACTCAATAACTGCATTCAAAATCGATTATTGTAAGAATGACATTAGATGGTAACTCGTGTGTTTCTACATATCAAATATTAGGAATAAAATATATGGTTTATTGTACAGTTTTTATTCCTAATACGTGATATTTACGACACGGAAACGCACAATAATCTTTGTACTGTGCTAGTAGTAATATCATCATCATCATCATGTGGTGACCGAACCCGGGCCAACACTTTACCAGTATTAATGAGTATTGTTTTACGCCGCTTTTGGCAATATTCCAGCAATATTACGGCAGGGGGACACCGGAAATGGGCTTCACATATTGTACCCATGTTGGGAATTGAACCCGGGCCTTCGGCGTGAAGAGCAAACGCTTTAACCACTGGGCTACCCGACCGCCCCTTTACCAGTATTAACCACTGGGCTATTGGAACGCTCGGACACACTGTGTGTTTGAGGCCTAATTCCACGTAGCGACTGGGTATGGTGCTTCATAATCAATCAGAGGGATGGCGGGCCCAGATTCGACTGTTTACAGACCGTCGTCACGTACCTGGAATATTGCGTGACGTTAAACAAAATAAAGAATAAATTAAAAAAACAACTGGCAAATCTGAAGATAACCCTGGGTCAGGTACCCGCTCAACCTCCATCAAACGTGTTTTATTATTTGTTAAAAATATATCAACTTTTCATCAATGCTTCATAGATATAACCATTTTAACGTGCCTGTGTTGATATCTGTAAGAATTATCATCTCATGTCGTCGGGTAACCAGTGTTAGAAATTGGCACTAGTCCTATAGTCCTTGCCAAACTGCCCAATGTTAAAGGTATCATAAGGACTAGTAGAAATTTGCCCTTTTTAAGGGTTTTGCTATATGTTATCATTATAAGGACTAGTAGAATAAAACTGTTAGATGCTAACCCTGGTAACACTGATTAAACCACTGGAACATTCAATGTACATTACAGACGCTGGCATTACAGTGAATTGTCTGTGCTCAAAATAGCCGAAATATATTTCGACAAGTCATCACAACTCTGTGAACGCCCTTCACTTGCAATCCTCCATATCTCCATGGCTCTTATTGCGGTAAATAAACCTAACCCTGCATTCAGTCCTGTAGTCCTCACGCTCTCAAATTAGCCGCTCTGAGTTTATTATCCAATTTGCCATATATTTTTTAGGCATGTGGAAATATACTTGTTGTTTTGCGACATCTGTGCCTTTTCGAAGGTGCATTTTGGAGCCGTTGTGACCTGATTCAAATGAGATGAAGTTTATGTCTGAGATATCAGCTGGTTCCTATGTTATTAAGCGTGTTTATTTTGGTTAGAAAACTGGGTATAAAATTACACAATGTTTTTGGTAGGAAAGAACCCCTTTCTTTGGTACAAAATGAACGCATTCACCCAAATGTGAAAACTCTAATTAATCTTAATCTATATCTTGGTATTTTTATTTTGACTATGGTACCGCGGTGAAGAATGAAAATACACATTTTTGTGTACATTGTTTTGACTACAGAATATTTCTTGTTTCTTGCTGACGGGGGTCTTTTTGTTCAGTGTTTAAATTAAAGTGATCAATATTAACTTTAAAAATGAATTGGTCAATATTGGTGAATATGTGTTGAGAATCACGAAGAAATATATTATTGCGAATATAATCAAGGTCGTTTATAAACCGAGTCAACCCTGTTGTTACGGGGTAACAATATCATTCATCCATTTTATTCGTTCTCAGTTATACATAATACTTGCAATTTATTACACAACTTTGTGTTTTATCTTCTTTATGAAATTGCATAGAAAATAATGAAATTGGAGAAAATCGTAATTTCTAGAACACTACCCGTGTGCCATTATCTCTGTTGTTATTCTAGCCCCTTGAATTGTATACTAATCTGATATTTTTATTTGTGTATAACCTGTAATTCAACAGATGCTCACAGCTGTCTGTTCCTACCAAAAGTGGTTGTGAAGAAAATACTACATCTTTGTCCGCGAAGGTGACTAACTAGTTTTATGTTGGTATATGCAGTGAACTTTACGCTCCTTCACAAGTATGTGTAGACGAAAGCCCAGTCAAGGAAAAGACGATGACGTATTTCGCTCCCAATTTTGCGCCACCTACAGGGCAAACACCCGCGCTTGAAACAATGGCGGGAGGAGGACCCCGAGATAAGCTTGTACAGTTGGAGCGGATTGAACGAGACATTGCCTCATCTTTACAGAGCGCGGGTACTGAAACCACGTTGACATCTAAACGGAACAGTCGATATATTTTTTTTTAATCGATCGTTGCCTTTGTTTAGGGATTTGTGTCCTGCTCTAAGAATAGGTGTTTAGTAAACAATGCTCGAATGAGGACCTACCGTATTTGCCGTATAAAGCGCCCGCGACCATTTCGAGCTGATCAATCTGGTGTACGTAATCTTTATAAGCCACTCCCCCACCCCCAGTCCATAGTTGTGTATACTACATATTTTGTTAAGAAACTGGCAGCACAGAATCGGTATATATATCCTCCTGTTATGGGTTTGGATGTGTAAAACATCCTAGTTTTCTCTCTAATCACAACTATGCTTGTAAGAGGCCGCTAACGGGATCGCGTGGCCAGGCTCGCTGACTTTGTTGATGCATATCATCGTATCCCAAATGTGTGGATCGATGCTCTTGATGTCAACCACTGGATTGTCTGGTCCAGACTCTATTATTTACAGACCGCCGTCATATTATAGCTAGAATATTGCTGAGTGTGACGTTACACGACAAACAAAATACTCCCTAATCACATGAACAACTGTAACGTCTCATTCACTTTTAAAAGACAACTTTCTCTGAAAACCAAGCAATAACTGAGTATTTACAATGTCTGTGGCTGTCCGAAAACGTATGAAGTCTGAAAAGCACATCTTCCCGAGGCAAGTGAGTGAACTGACTATAAAAGTCCAGTTTCCACCCTTTCCGAACTAGGCTGGTATTATGGAGTTCCATTTTGGCTTGACTAACGAGTGTATGCATAGTCCAATCAAAACCGCGCACCGAAATCGAAATCCGGTTCGTAAAGTGTCATGCAGATTTCGGTCGACTGCCGGATTTGCAAAGCATGTGCACCGCTATCGCGTTGTCAACAGATTTTTTCTAAATCTTTTCATGTTTTTAATAAAGATGCTCACGTGATTTGATGCACTTCGCGATGTAAGACTCGTTTTATCACAATATAGATCTTGATTATCGATCAGATTGTCTTGACTGGGCGCCACCGTTTTGTTCGAAGCAAATGCAAGTGAGGTTGAATCTGATTGGTCAATAGGAGGAGAAAGGACATAACTCGTAATAGCCACTGGTGGCGCTACGATCGAGCCCAGGAATTCCAGCCTAGTTCGGCAAGGGTGGAAACTGGACTTTTAAAGTCAGTTAACTCTCTTGCCTCGGGAAGATGGAAAACCAATGATCCCAAGATATTATTGCCATTATCAAAAAGCTTTATTTCATCGATATTTGAACGAAGATTGTTTGCTGCTGCTCTGTCTCTGAAGACAAATTTAACTTATGAATGGTTTAACTAAGCAGATAAGCGCTCCTCTTTGTCAATTTTCTATGTTATCAGTGTACTTTTTATGGCAAATATGGTACAGTGTTTGGAAATTGGATTCTTGCTGTAGGTTAGATACTTTATATTTGGAACCGAATGCACAGAACAGGTTTTCCTGTGTGTAAAGTCCAGGCGACCGTCTCCGTGGTGTAGTGGTAGAGCGTTTGCCCGGAGAGCCGAAGGTCTGGTGTTCGATCCCTGGCCGCGTCATACCAAAAGACGTTTAAAGATGGTACTTGTTGTTACCCTGTCTGGCACTCGGCATTACAGGGGCTAAAACAAGGATTGGTCAGTTTGGAGTCAGTATGCTGTGTCTGAGTGGGGTATTCATGTTAAACTGTGGCATGGTATCTCAGTGGGCTAGCACTATAAATCGGCATCAGTCTAGACTAGTTCTAGCAGCCACACACACACACACACATGCATGCATGTGGCTGTATCTTGGGGGTGATGTTAAACCCCATTTCACCTCACATGTAGATTCCAGGTATATGTAACAACGTTTTACGGATCCCGTGGTATATGTGTTTGTGGATGCTTACGAAACATTCATAGTTTTCTCTCTAATTACATGAACACTTATAAAAGACAATTTATCTTAAAATCAAGCCATCATCTGAGCATTTACAATACAATGCCACACCCCTTGTTATAGCGCAAGTAATCGCGATAAACATGCCAGTCTGAAACGTATGGTATCCAAAAACCTATGATCCAATGATATATATCAACCTGCTTGAGGGATGGGCTGTTTTGGTCATGGACAGTCAACTTCTAAAACATGCATGTCAAATCATCGGGATTTTTAGGTAGATTTTGTTAATGAAAAAAAGGGATCAAACTTATGTTGTGAGTAGCATGTAACCTAATATTAATATAGCACAGAAGACTTGCAGTGTTTTTAAGTGTGACAAAGGTCTGGACTGTCAACTTAGTAGACTAATAAGTCCTGCTGTCTGACTGGAATTAATTTAATTGCGAAGCATTGGTAACAGTAAACTAACACCTAGTCAATGAAAAATCTTTAAAATATGTATTTATTTTTTCTTCGCAAGAACCTTTCCTATTCTGCTGTTTTCAAACTAGACTTGCTTAGTTTGATCTAGACTTGCCTAGGCTTTTAGTAAAAAGAAGTACCTAAAAAATATAAATCATGAATGCAGGACTGGTAGCAGTAGTACTTTTTGTTTAAAACTGAACTATTTGTAACCGCCTCCAGACCCGTGAAGATCCGGGGTAGAATAGGTCTTCAGCAACCCATGCTTGTCATAAAAGGCGACTATTCTTGTCGTAAGAAGCGACTAACGGGATCGGGTGGTCAGACTCGCTGTCTTGGTTGATGCATGTCATCGTATCCCAATTGTGTGGATCGATGCTCATGATGTCAATCACTGAATTGTCTGGTCCAGACTCTATTATTTACAGACTGCCGTCATATAGCTGGAATATTGCCGAGTGCAGCGTTAAACAACAAGCAAACAAACAAAATCTAAATATCATGGCTCCATTCTAAATACCCTGGCTGAGTCTGACGTTAAACAAACAAACAAATGTAACCACCTCCATGGTCTAGTGCATATTTCCTCTGGAGAACTGAAGGTCCTTGGTTAAACCCCCTGGCCTTGTCATTAGGGCTTGAACGAGTCCAAATTTACTACCTGACCAGGTGGCACGGGTGGCCCAGTTGTCTTAGGCGCCACAATTCGCTGTGCAGAGTTGCGTCCCTTGGGCACACCAGAAACCTATGACCGTGGGTTTGAATCCCCGTCCTCCCTGATTATGTTTTTAGGTTTGTCAGCACCATACCCGTGCTCATGGGTTTCACCTAAGTGGTAAACGTCTGACACCTGCATCACTTCAGGCTTTCCTCCCACATTAAGCTGACACGCCGCGATATAACTGGAATACAGTTAAAAGCAGCTTTAAACCCAACTCACTCACTCACACATACTAAAGTCACAGACTTAGGACAAGGTGATATGAAAAGTTTGAATTTTATGTTGCCATGATAACAGTATGTTTTCCATGTTTCAGGTCAAGCCCTGCAGGAACTGTCCAAGGACAAACCTAGTCTGAAGCAGGCAGAAAGTCATACTACCAGCTTCCTCAAGACTCTACAGGAAGTAGAGAACGGCATGCAACTGCAGATAAACTATCTCACACAGGTGTCCACAGGTAAGGCCAGCATAAATACATGTCTGGTTCCAGACCTTTATCTGGATACGGGGCGGTGGGGTAGCCTAGTGGTTAAAGCGTTCGCTCGTCACGCCGAAGACCCGGGTTCGATTCCCGACATGGGTACAATGTGTGAAGCCCATGTCTGGTGTCCCTAGCCGTGATATTGCTGGAATATTGCTAAAAGCGGCGTAAAACCATACTCACTCACAATTATCTGGATACAGGTCATAGTACCCCAATTGTGTAGATCGATGCTGATGATGTCAATCACTGGATTGTCTGGTCCAGACTCGATTATTTACCGCCGTCATATAGCTAGAATATTGCTGAGTGCGGCACTAAACTAAAATTAAACAAACAAACAAACACTGTATGAGTGCAATAACCTTGAACAAACGTTAAACCCCATTTAACCACACCACTATATATGCAGACAAGTGTTTTGTGCGGCGTTAAACAACTAACAAACAAACAAACAAACAAAATAAAACAATACCTTTATCTGGAGCCCCAGACCTGAACTCTCTTTTCTTGACTTTCTTATTATTATCACCATCCTAGTATTGCCTCTTTACCAGTGAAGTGCTTCACCTTAAATATACCAGTCAAATAACATTGAAGAAAACAAAACTGACAACCTGCCTATGATGGACTGAAATGGGGTTTAATGTCACGCTCAAATTTGTTGCACTTAAAGAGCGACGTGTGTGTGTATGTGTGTGTGCGTGCGCATGCGTGTGTGTGAGAGAGACTGTATAGTCTGTACAAGTCTGGGCTAAGAGCGTTTTATGATGCTAGCCCACTGAGATAAATACATGGGTATCTAGAGGGTGTATAGAAAGCAGTGTGTTGTGTCTGGTAAAAGCATGGGTAAACTATGGGGTGTATAGAAAGCAGTGTGTTGTGTCTGGTAAAAGCATGGGTAAACTATGGGGTGTAGAGAAAGCAGTGTGTTGTGTCTGGTAAAAGCATGGGTAAACTATGGGTGTATAGAAAGCAGTGTGTTGAGTCTGGTAAACTATGGGGTGTATAGAAAGCAGTGTGTTGTGTCTGGTAAAAGCATGGGTAAACTATGGGTGTAGAGAAAGCAGTGTGTTGTGTCTGGTAAAAGCATGGATAAACTATGGGGTGTATAGAAAGCAGTGTGTTGTGTCTGGTAAAAGCATGGGTAAACTATTGGTGTAGAGAAAGCAGTGTTGTGTCTGGTAAAAGCATGGGTAAACTATGGGGTGTATAGAAAGCAGTGTGGTGTGTCTGGTAAAAGCATGGGTAAACTATGGGTGTATAGAAAGCAGTGTGTTGTGTCTGGTAAAAGCATGGCTAAACTATTGGTGTAGAGAAAGCAGTGTTGTGTCTGGTAAAAGCATGGGTAAACTATGGGGTGTATAGAAAGCAGTGTGGTGTGTCTGGTAAAAGCATGGGTAAACTATGGGTGTATAGAAAGCAGTGTGTTGTGTCTGGTAAAAGCATGGGTAAACTATGGGTGTATAGAAAGCAGTGTGTTGTGTCTGGTAAAAGCATGGGTAAACTATGGGTGTATAGAAAGCAGTGTGTTGAGTCTGGTAAACTATGGGGTGTATAGAAAGCAGTGTGTTGTGTCTGGTAAAAGCATGGGTAAACTATGGGGTGTATAGAAAGCAGTGTGTTGTGTCTGGTAAAAGCATGGGTAAACTATGGGGTGTATAGAAAGCAGTGTGTTGTGTCTGGTAAAAGCATGGGTAAACTATGTGTGTATAGAAAGCAGTGTGTTGTGTCTGGTAAAAGCATGGGTAAACTATGGGGTGTATAGAAAGCAATGTGGTGTGTCTGGTAAACTATGTGTGTATAGAAAGCAGTGTGATGTGTCTGGTAAAAGCATGGGTAAACTATGGGTGTATAGAAAGCAGTGTGTTGTGTCTGGTAAAAGCATGGCTAAACTATGGGTGTATAGAAAGCAGTGTGTTGAGTCTGGTAAACTATGGGGTGTATAGAAAGCAGTGTGTTGAGTCTGGTAAAAGCATGGGTAAACTATGGGTGTATAGAAAGCAGTGTGTTGTGTCTGGTAAAAGCATGGCTAAACTATGGGGTGTATAGAAAGCAGTGTGTTGAGTCTGGTAAAAGCATGGGTAAACTATGTGTGTATAGAAAGCAGTGTGTTGTGTCTGGTAAAAGCATGGGTAAACTATGGGGTGTATAGAAAGCAGTGTGTTGTGTCTGGTAAAAGCATGGGTAAACTATGGGTGTATAGAAAGCAGTGTGTTGTGTCTGGTAAAAGCATGGGTAAACTATGGGTGTATAGAAAGCAGTGTGTTGTGTCTGGTAAAAGCATGGGTAAACTATGGGTGTATAGAAAGCAGTGTGTTGTGTCTGGTAAAAGCATGGGTAAACTATGGGGTGTATAGAAAGCAGTGTGATGTGTCTGGTAAAAGCATGGGTAAACTATGGGGTGTATAGAAAGCAATGTGGTGTGTCTGGTAAAAGCATGGGTAAACTATGGGGTGTATAGAAAGCAATGTGGTGTGTCTGGTAAAAGCATGGGTAAACTATGGGTGTATAGAAAGCAGTGTGATGTGTCTGGTAAAAGCATGGGTAAACTATGGGGTGTATAGAAAGCAGTGTGTTGAGTCTGGTAAAAGCATGGGTAAACTATGGGGTGTATAGAAAGCAATGTGGTGTGTCTGGTAAAAGCATGGCTAAACTATGGGTGTATAGAAAGCAGTGTGTTGAGTCTGGTAAAAGCATGGGTAAACTATGGGTGTAGAGAAAGCAGTGTGTTGTGTCTGGTAAACTATGGGTGTATAGAAAGCAGTGTGTTGAGTCTGGTAAAAGCATGGGTAAACTATGGGGTGTATAGAAAGCAATGTGGTGTGTCTGGTAAAAGCATGGGTAAACTATGGGGTGTATAGAAAGCAATGTGGTGTGTCTGGTAAAAGCATGGGTAAACTATGGGTGTATAGAAAGCAGTGTGATGTGTCTGGTAAAAGCATGGGTAAACTATGGGGTGTATAGAAAGCAGTGTGTTGAGTCTGGTAAAAGCATGGGTAAACTATGGGGTGTATAGAAAGCAATGTGGTGTGTCTGGTAAAAGCATGGCTAAACTATGGGTGTATAGAAAGCAGTGTGTTGAGTCTGGTAAAAGCATGGGTAAACTATGGGGTGTATAGAAAGCAATGTGGTGTGTCTGGTAAAAGCATGGGTAAACTATGGGTGTATAGAAAGCAGTGTGTTGAGTCTGGTAAAAGCATGGGTAAACTATGGGGTGTATAGAAAGCAATGTGGTGTGTCTGGTAAAAGCATGGCTAAACTATGGGTGTATAGAAAGCAGTGTGTTGAGTCTGGTAAAAGCATGGGTAAACTATGGGTGTAGAGAAAGCAGTGTGTTGTGTCTGGTAAACTATGGGTGTATAGAAAGCAGTGTGTTGTGTCTGGTAAACTATGGGTGTATAGAAAGCAGTGTGTTGAGTCTGGTAAAAGCATGGGTAAACTATGGGTGTATAGAAAGCAGTGTGTTGAGTCTGGTAAACTATGGGTGTATAGAAAGCAGTGTGTTGAGTCTGGTAAAAGCATGGGTAAACTATGGGTGTATAGAAAGCAGTGTGTTGTGTCTGGTAAACTATGGGTGTATAGAAAGCAGTGTGTTGAGTCTGGTAAAAGCATGGGTAACCTATGGGTGTATAGAAAGCAGTGTGTTGAGTCTGGTAAAAGCATGGGTAAACTATGGGGTGTATAGAAAGCAGTGTGTTGAGTCTGGTAAAAGCATGGCTAAACTATGGGTGTATAGAAAGCAGTGTGTTGAGTCTGGTAAAAGCATGGGTAAACTATGGGTGTATAGAAAGCAGTGTGTTGAGTCTGGTAAACTATGTGTGTATAGAAAGCAGTGTGTTGTGTCTGGTAAAAGCATGGGTAAACTATGTGTGTATAGAAAGCAGTGTGATGTGTCTGGTAAAAGCATGGGTAAACTATGTGTGTATAGAAAGCAGTGTGATGTGTCTGGTAAAAGCATGGGTAAACTATGGGGTGTATAGAAAGCAGTGTGTTGAGTCTGGTAAAAGCATGGGTAAACTATGTGTGTATAGAAAGCAGTGTGTTGTGTCTGGTAAAAGCATGGGTAAACTATGGGGTGTATAGAAAGCAGTGTGTTGTGTCTGGTAAAAGCATGGGTAAACTATGGGGTGTATAGAAAGCAATGTGGTGTGTCTGGTAAAAGCATGGGTAAACTATGGGTGTATAGAAAGCAGTGTGTTGAGTCTGGTAAACTATGTGTGTATAGAAAGCAGTGTGTTGTGTCTGGTAAACTATGGGGTGTATAGAAAGCAGTGTATTGTGTCTAGGTAAAAGCATGGGTAAACTATGGGGTGTATAGAAAGCAGTGTGTTGTGTCTGGTAAAAGCATGGGTAAACTATGGGGTGTATAGAAAGCAGTGTGTTGTGTCTGGTAAAAGCATGGGTAAACTATGTGTGTATAGAAAGCAGTGTGATGTGTCTGGTAAAAGCATGGGTAAACTATGGGGTGTATAGAAAGCAGTGTGTTGTGTCTGGTAAAAGCATGGGTAAACTATGGGCAAGCTTTTTCAGCATTGTACAACGTTGCTAATTTCCGAAACACAATTACAGTCAAGCCTATATTTAGAACCGTTATATATACATCTAAAACATTTGAATTTTTTTTAATTCTCAAAATATTTTCTCATTTTGGGGAAAACCCAATAGAGTGATGAATAGATTAGTGAAAAAATACTGGCTACCCAATGAAAAATGTAATAACCCAATTAAAATACTATCCTTTGAGTTAAACCTCAATAGCTCGAAAAGTTATCTGGAGTTCTGACTATCCGTCCTAGATAATTGTTTACCAGCCACTTTTTGATTTTTGACTTATTGTTACATTTTCCAAAGAAATAGGAAATAAGAGAGAGAACATTTACCCTGTTTTACCAAGACCTGCTCAGAGGCCGATATTTGGCCCCAAGTCTGAAGAATATTGTCCATAAAAATTTCCCGAACTGGAATTTATAATTGCTAAGCTATGAATTATAGTAATAACTGATACTATTGCTTTGCAGTTGTGAATTGCATTTCACATATTTATAAACTGATTTATAAACCGATCTGGTCATGCATACACTGAAGTTGACTGAAGTTTTATCTTTGTTTGATCATTTGGAAGTTAGAAGGAATGGGTGCAAAGTCTGAAAGAAATACGAACATGAGGAGTGACTTGTTGTGTAGCCAAAAAGTGAGTTATCGTGAATGTTTTCCATTAAACAATATATGTCGTGACTAACCGCAGGTCCAGGTAGTCCTGTAGGTACCCGGGTCCTAGTCAGGACCCTGCTGATCTGAGTTCTAGTCCCACTTTCACAAAGTGATCTTAGCGCTATGATGATCGTAACTCCCGTACTTTATCATATGCTTACAATAGTCTTAGCGCTAAGGGGGGGCGGACGGGTAGCCTAGTGGTTAAAGTGTTAGCTCATCACGCCGAAGACCCGGGTTCGATTCCCGACATGGGTACAATGTGTGAAGCCCATTTCTGGTGTCCCCCGCTGTGATATTGCTGGAATATTGCTTAAAGCGGCGTAAAACAATACTCACTCACTCACTTAGCGCTAAGATCGCTTTGTGCAAGTGGACCCTGGAGTTGCTCATAATATTCACTGTATTCTACTCCCTTCTGTCATAAACCAATAATATCTAAGTTTTTAAAATAAGTTTGCTCAAAATCCTGTTTTTTTCAGGTGACAATATGTGCTGTATTCCCGCAGTACAATTTGCCTCGGGAAGATGGCAGGCTTATATTTCTTGAAGACCTTTATTTGTTGATTGAATTGTGCTGCAGTGATGTTATGCATGCATTCAATCAACAAATATTGGTCTGTACAGAAAAATAAGCCTTCCATCGTTCGGAGGCAAGGGAGTTTACTGACTATAAAAGTCCAGTTTCCACCCTTGCCAAACTAGGCTGGTATTATGGAGTTACATTTTGAATGGACAAACGAGTCAATGCATAGTCCAATCAGAATTGCGGAACGAAATCAAAATCCGGTAAACTGTCGTGCAGATTTCGGTCAATTGCAGGATTTCCAAAGCATGTGCACCGCCAACTCGTTGTCAACAGATATTTTTCATGTATTTAATCAAAGGGGCTCGTGTGATTTGATGTAAGACACGTTTTTTCGCAGTATAGATGTTGATTATCAATCAGATCGTCTTGACTGGGCCGCCATTTTGTTTGAACCAAATGCAAGTGATACGAGGGACGTAGGGACATTTCTCATAGTAGCCACTGGTGGCGCTACGATCGAGCCCAGGAATTCCAGCCTAGGTCGGCAAAGTTGGAAACTGTACTTTTAAAGTCAGTTAGCTCCCTTGCCTTGGGAAGATGTGGGCTTTCAGACTCTAGTGGTGACTTTGACTCGTTTGAGTACTTCTGCTGTGTGTTGTTAAGTTGCTGAGGCTAAACATGTTTAGTGATTATTGCAAGTTGGAAAAAGTTATGTTGAGGGTCAGTAGAATACAGGCTTTTTGAGATAAGGGTAGTGAATGTTTCAGTATGCTGAATCCCGGCAAATGTGGCATTAGCATATTTTTTAATAATTGTTTGAAAGTGCAATGAGAAATGTTATTAAATGTGTTATCAGGTCAGCCGCACGAGGGATCCTGCTACTCTGCTCAGAAGGACCTACAGATGGCGTACCATCGGATGGAGCACGTCAAGAGTCGGCTCGGCGAGCTGGAGAAGATCCGGATGGAGCATCTCCGACAGAGGCAGGGTCAGATGGTCCGGAGCTATTCCTTGCCAGAGCATCTTCCTCCACCCCCTCTGCAGCATCAGCAGCTGCCCCACCCCATGCCTCATCCACAACATCAGTTCCACTGAGGCAGGGCAACATCGTCAACTACATCAATCGGAACGGTTCTGTAGTGTAGAAGCAACATCCACCGCATGCCGCACCCTTATCAACAGCGACTGTTCCATAGCGTAAAAGCAACATCTACGACATGCTGCACTGCCACCGTTCGCAGCATCAACATCATCAGTGTTGAAACAACATCTACAACTTGACCCACCAACATCATCAACAGCATCCGTTTCACAATGTCAAAACAACATCTACGGAACATCCACATCGGCAGATCTACTGGGTCAAAGCAACATCGGCGCCATACAAACAGTGTCAATCTGATTTCGGTGGCATGTCTATCAAAGGTCAAGGTTATTGTTAAGGTCATCATGAAGTGGTATAATTTATTGCCGATTACTGTCACCTTTACTTGTACGACTTGTCCTGACCTTGCTGTTTAAGTTCGACTGATGAAGGTCAAGGTTACAGCAATATTGGAGTCCATACTATTTTCATATGGGTGTTTTGCATGCAGTGGTCGATAAGGACAGATGATAAGACCATATGATTCCATAAATGGATGTACCATTACCAGAATAGACCTTTTATAGTGTACGCAACTTTCATAAGAATCGTGGAAGAATATTACTTTCTGGTTTCAACTCTATTGGTAGTAGGCATATGACTCCCAAAACAGGAAGTAGTGATATCTTAGTGGATGGTTCTACTTTTGAACCCATGCTTGTCATAAGAGGTGACTAACAGGATCGGGTGGTCAGACTCGCTGACTTGGTTGATGCATGTCAACGTATCCCAATTGCGTGGCACGATGCTCATGATGTCAGTCACTGGATTGTCAGGTCCAGACTCGATTATTTACAGATTGCTGTCATATAGCTGGGATATTGCTGAGTGCAGCGTCTTAGGAGAAGCAGTATGCTGTCCAGAGTTGTGTCCCTTTGTTGCTCAAGGACTTCAAATCCATCATCACCCCATTGTAATCATATATTTCCATACCTATTCTGTGGACATCCCAAAGTGGTAGACATCTACGACCCCATTCACTTAAAAGTACTAGTGACCCAGAAGAATTGGGGAAGAAATGGTCTTCAGCAACCCATGCTTGCCGTAAAAGACGACTATGCTTGTTGTACGAGGCGACTAAGATTGTCATTAGAGGCGACTAACTAGTTTGGGTGGTCGGGCTGACTGACTCGGTTGATGCATGTCATCGTATCCCAATTGTGTGGATCGATGCTCACGATATCCATCACTTGATTGTCCGGTCCAGACTCGATTATTTACAGACCGCTGTCATAAAGCTGGAATATTGCTGTGTGCGGCGTTGAACAACAAACAAACAACAACCCAATTGTGTGGATCTGCTGTCATATAGCTGGAATATTGTGGCGTTAAACTACAAACAAACAAACATTGAAGTACTAGTTAATGGGTGTTAACCAAACTCATTCTTTCTAGCATCTATTTATCCCATGTATGTTTACTTAACTATTGTTAAGGTGTGTTAAATCAAGGCTTGTCCATGTAGTTTTATGATCAAGAATAACTAAACTTGGTACGTTCATTTCTGTTTTTGTTACCTAGCATTTATGTTTTTAGCTACGTGTATTTTATTGTAAAGAATACTCCCCTCGGTTGATGTCGCCATCAAGAATACCAACATCAATTTGGTTCGAGTTGTGAGGGTCATTATTTGCCTACAATGTCAGATAAATATGCAAAAATGAACCCAAATTTTGTGCAATTCCAAATCTGACCAGGGCCTTTTTCCACAAGGTATCTTTCTTCTACACATCGTAAGTCTGTAAGGACTTATGACAATCACAGTGCTATGTTGGTTGGCTGAACACTGCCTCTATTTCAACATGTAAGTCTGTGTTTAAGTAAGGACTTACGACAGTCACAGTGCTATGTTTGATGGCGGAACACTGCCTCTCCTTCAACATGTTAGTCTGTGTTTAAGTAAGGACTTACGACAATCACAGTGCTATGTTTGATGGCGGAACACTGCCTCTCATTCAACATGTAAGTCTGTGTTTAAGTAAGGACTTACGACAATCACAGTGCTATGTTTGTTGGCTGTACACTGCCTCTCCTTCCAAATCTAAATATTTGTTTAAGTAAGGACTTACAACAATCACAGTGCTATGTTTGTTGGCTGAACACTGCTTCTATTTCAACATGTAAGTCTGTGTTTAAGTAAGGACTTACGACAATCACAGTGCTATGTTTGTTGGCTGTACACTGCCTCTATTTCAACATGTAAGTCTGTGTTTAAGTAAGGACTTACGACAATCACAGTGTTATGTTTGTTGGCTGTACACTGCCTCTATTTCAACATGTAAGTCTGTGTTTAAGTAAGGACTTACGACAATCACAGTGCTGTTTGTTGGCTGTACACTGTCTCTATTTCAACATGTAAGTATGTGTTTAAGTAAGGACTTACGACAATCACAGTGCTATGTTGGTTGGCTGAACACTGTCTCTATATTTCAACATGTAAGTCTGTGTTTAAGTAAGGACTTACGACAATCACAGTGCTGTTTGTTGGCTGTACACTGTCTCTATTTCAGCATGTAAGTCTGTGTTTAAGTAAGGACTTACGACAATCACAGTGATGTTTGTTGGCTGTACACTGTCTCTATTTCAACATGTAAGTCTGTGTTTAAGTAAGGACTTACGACAATCACAGTGTTATGTTTGTTGGCTGAACACTGCCTCTCCTTCAACATGTAAGTCTGTGTTTAAGTAAGGACTTACGACAATCACATTGCTTTGTTTGTTGGCTGAACACTGCCTCTATTTCAACATGTAAGTCTGTGTTTAAGTAAGGACTTACGACAATCACAGTGCTATGTTTGTTGGCTGAACACTGCCTCTATTTCAACATGTAAGTCTGTGTTTAAGTAAGGACTTACGACAATCACAGTGCTATGTTTGTTGGCTGAACACTGCCTCTCCTTCCAAATCTAAGTCTGTGTTTAAGTGAGGACTTACGACAATCACAGCGCTATGGATGCAATCACAGATCAATGTGGGATGTTCACAGGATGATGTGGTGGAGCGTTCAGCAGCATTCAGTTTCACACACCTTGTGGAGATGGGCCTTGGTCAGAATATTTTAGTAACACAATGCTGACATGTTCCATGTTGTGTGAGGTGCCCCTATTGGACTCCCCTCTTTTAACGTTTTATCTTGGAGAGTCTTGTGTCTCAGTTGCTGGTCCTACAAACCTACTAATTTGTGTATTGTGCTTACTGTATTTCTTGTGTTGACGGTATCAGTAATTTTAAATAGCTATACTACATATGTGATAGGGATAGTAGAGTGTCCAGATGGTGGGAAATCTGACTATATGTTGGTGTACAAATAGTATGTCATTTGGAACGGACACATGTTAAGCTACATTTCAAGCAGTAGTAAACAAAAATATAATGGGGCTGTGCGAAGTTTTTGAAGATTTCTGCAAGAGTGGGTGAGTGAGTATAGTTTTACGCCGCTTTTAGCAATATTCCAGCAATATCACCGCGGGGGACGCCAGAAATGGGCTTCACACATTGTACCCATGTCGGGAATCGAACCCGGGTTTTCGACATGACAAGCGAACGCTTTAACCACAAGGCTACCCGACCGCCACTGATTTCTGCAAGAAAGCAATAGGCATTGCATAGTTTAAACAGCAGGTGCTTGTGTTGAGACAATGGGAAGTTAGTCTTTGCATGCAGGCTTCTCATCTCTCCCAAACGATGACAAATGAGTCCTAAGTTCACTCACATGCGTGGGTCTGAATACTACTACTCAACTCTGATAGAACCTGTGAAGATCCCAGTTAGAATAGGTCTTCAGCATCCCATGCTTGCCGTAAGAGGCATATTTGAGGACACTAATGGATCAGATGGCTGACTTGGTTGATGCATGTCATTGTATCAAAATTGCGTGGACCAATGCTCATGATGTCAATCCCTGGATTTTCTGGTCCAGACTTGATTATTTACAGACTGCCGTCATATAGCTGGGGGGCGGTTGGGTAGCCTAGTGGTTAAAGCGTTTGCTCATCACGCCGAAAACCCGGGTTCGATTCCCGACATGGGTACAATGTGTGAAGCCCATTTCTGATGTCCCCCGCCCTGATATTGCTGGAATATTGCTAAAAGCGGCGTAAAACCAAACTCAGTCACTCACTCATGTAGCTGGAGTATTGCTAGGTGTGGTTTTAAAGAACCCCTGATAGGGGTGCTATGCAAGCACACACTCTTATGAAAGTCAGGAGATGACGAGGTATATTAGTGTCTACTTTTGTTAAGGATGAAATGAAGCTTAACATATGTCAGGTCCAGTCTATACATACGACATCACCAAAGAGACCCGTGAAGATCCGGGGTAGAATAGGTCTTCAACAACCCGTGCTTGCCGTAAAAGGCGACTACGCTTGTCATAAAAAGGCGACTAACAGGATTGGGTGGTCAGACTCGCTGACTTGGTTGATGCATGTCATCCTATCCCAATTGCGTTTGTCTGGTCCAGACTAGCAGATGGGGTGGTCAGACTCACTGACTTCGTTGGTGCATGTCAACGTATCCAATTTGCGAGGATTGATGCTTGTGATATCAATCACTGGATTGTCTGGTCAAGACTCGATTAATAACAGACTGCTGTCAAACAAACAAACAAATAAACAAACACTTTGGGCTTTCCACCCAAATCAAGTTGCCATGCTGTGATATAACTGAAATACTGTTCAAAGCAGCATTTAACCAAATGCACTCACACACTCAGAAACAGAAGGGTGTTCTTCAGATGTATCAGTATTTTGTGAAAAACCAAATGAATAAAATACGAAGATGAATTGAGTGGTTGATTGTTTCATGTTTTCAGTACCAGGTGGGAATTCTGAGGTGGAATTGATAGCGGCAAGATCGGTGGGCAGGGTCTCACTTTGCAGAGAAGTGTTGGTTTGATCGGTGGGCAGGGTCTCACTTTGCAGAGAAGTGTTGGTGTGATCGGTGGGCAGGGTCTCACTTTGCAGAGAAGTGTTGGTGTGATCGGTGGGCAGGGTCTCACTTTGCAGAGAAGTGTTGGTGTGATCGGTGGGCAGGGTCTCACTTTGCAGAGAAGTGTTGGTGTGATCGGTGGGCAGGGTCTCACTTTGCAGAGAAGTGTTGGTGTGATCGGTGGGCAGGGTCTCACTTTGCAGAGAAGTGTTGGTGTGATCGGTGGGCAGGGTCTCACTTTGCAGAGAAGTGTTGGTGTGATCGGTGGGCAGGGTCTCACTTTGCAGAGAAGTGTTGGTGTGATCGGTGGGCAGGGTCTCACTTTGCAGATAAGTGTTGGTGTGATCTGATCACATGAAATGTTGTCTTACTTATAGGAGACGTTGATTTCACTTAAATAGCCGCGTGTGGGTGGGCAGCTGCTTTTACTGGTCTGGACTGATGCCAGTTTAATAGTGCTAGGCTACTGTGAGTGATTGAGTTGCGTTTAACTCCACTTTAAAAAATATTCCAATTATATCACGGCGTGTCAGCTTAAAGTGGGAGGAAAGCCCGAAGTGATGCAGATCTTAGACATTTACCACTTCGGTGAAACCCACGAGCACGGGTATGGTGCTGACAAACCTAGAAACATAATCGGGGATGAACTGGGATTCGAAGCCACAATCATAGGTTCCTGGCGTTCCCAAGGGAAGCAACTCTGTACAGTTATTATTGCAGCGCCTTAGACGACTGGGCCACCCGTGCCCCCAGGCCACTGTGATACCCCACTCAGACAGAGTATAAACTAACAGTGACATCCCTGAAAATACTGTGTACAATACCCTGTAGGGAATGGGGTTTGAATCTGTCCCGGTATCCTCTGTTGGTCGTAAGAGGCGACACGATGGATCTTCCATTGGATGGTCCTCTGTGACTTGGTTTAGTTACGTGTCTTTGTACCCTGGCAGCGTCAATCGTTGCACAGCCACTGGATTTTCTGGTCCAGACTCCAGATTGTTTACAGGCTGCTACCATGTTGCTGGACTATCTCTTGAATATTGCTGATTCCTGTTTTAATCGTTTGTTTACTTGTTTAATGCTGCACCTTTCAAGAAATATTCAAGCTATTGAGGGCTGTCTGTAATATTCGAGTCTGGACAATCCAGTGATAGACATCATGAGCATCAATCTCGCACTTGACCGGTAACAGGTATGACACAGTAACATAGGAGTGCGAAATACAGTCTACAGAGAGGCGTATGACAGTAACATAGGAGTGTGACATACAGTGAACAGAGAGGTGTATGACAGTAACATAGGAGTGTGACATACAGTGAACA